CACAAAACTTAAATATACACTCTTTTGTATGATTGAAATGACGTCTTTTTGGTAAAAAACAAAAACGATTGGGACTGCTGATAGGGGGTCAAATTTCGCAAGTGTCTGATTTTTCATTTTTTTTCGATAATAGTTGCCATATATTTTCGCAACAATTTTTCTAAATTATTTGCGTCAGCACTTACTATTCTTTCTTTATAACGCAAATTCATTGTTCCACAACAATTTGAGCGTTTTTAATATTGCAATGAGCAATACCATTTGACAACATATGGTCAACCATCGTACTTTCTGGATTTATTTGAAATTGAATATGAATGATAAAATCTGGCAACATCAAGCACAAAATACTAAAACCAGGCACTTGTGAAATTTCAGGCACTTTGTAAAAACCTATTTCTCAATGTTTTTACTTACTTTGAAGCAGAAAACTAAAATATACACTCTTTTGTATGATTGAAATGACGTCTTTTTGGTAAAAAACAAAAACGATTGGGACTGGTGATGAGGGGTCAAATTTCGCAAGTGCCTGATTTTTCATTTTTTTCGATAACAGTTGCAATATATTTTCGCAACAATTTTTCTAAATTATTTGAGTCAGAACTTACTAATCATTGCTTTTTAAAGGAAATTCCTAGTTCTACAACAATTTCAGCGTTTTTAATAATGCGTGAGCAATATCATTTGACAACATATAGATAATCATGGTACTTTTTGGATTTATTTAAAATTGAATAGGAATGATAAAATCTGCCATATCTTCATAATTTTTGTCGTTTTTTTTATATGTTGTTTCCCTATTGCATTATTTTATAAAAGTCAATGTTTGTATGAGAGCTCCACTTAGCATAAATGGAATTAAACTTCTAACATCAGTATCTGCATCCGGAAATCGGTATTTAATTGAACCAATCACGCTTTTGCAAAACTATTTGAATATTGTAAAGTTTGAATGACATTGTGTTGTTTATTTTTATTAATTCAAAAGTATGACATATGTATTATTTAAATACGGGTTTAAATTTGACAGATCTGTGGAAAATATTAGTTATTCAGACGACATCTTTATAGTAATGTTCGGAACCCTTGAAATTGGTTCAAAACTTCTTCTAATTTGTTATAAACATTTCGACGTAATATATTACCCAGGTAGTAACAATCGCATCGTTATAAACAACCTAATTTGTCTTCTGGCAATATTAGTTCGAAATTCCAGTTTTAAATATTATCGGACGACGATTTTAATAATGTAATTTGGCCTATGACTTCATATAAACTACATAACAGAAACAATTGAGTTATGTCGTATAGAATCTTTTATAATACGTATCCGAGTCACATTATCCCCTAATTTAGAACATAATTTACCGTTCACAAAATGTATAAAAGCCTGTGCAAAATCTATATTGACAACCAGCGGTGTTCAACCACGGCTACAATAAAGATATTCAATCACTTGCTGTTGCTGTTGTATAATATTCTTTACAAACTGAAGATCTGACTGTAATATATTTTCATGGATAGTTTATGGAATGGATTTCATGGATAGATTACGTAGAATTATTTGTACATTATTTCATGCTGTAACAGCTAACTGTAAAACACGTAGTTCCTAAATAAGAAGAATGGCTACAGGATGGTAAATACGAGATGGCAATGTCACCTAAACAAAATTCGCTCTGCGAATGACATCAGGTAGCTGATATGCCCAAAGTTAGGATTAAAAGCATCGTTAAACGAATGTTACAATAAAAATCATTCAATATTCAACACGCCAGTAGTCAGCCAACGAATTTTTTTGCGTTATTCAAAAAGTTGCAAATATATAAAAACGTAAAACAGTAATTGTTTTTAATGTCACAGAAGCCGTATTAAACTCTTGATTATAGATCTTTCTCCATCAGTAATTGGGGATATAAATTTGAATTTAAATTTATTAAGGAGATAAAACATTAAAAACACAACTTCACAAAGGAAGTGTATGAGTGAACACTAATTGAAGCTTTCAGTTTGAAAATTATCAGAAATATTGAGTATCCAATAAAAATCTTTACTATTTGTTCTATTTTAACATGATATGATTTACGTATCTTGCAATTAAGTAAAACCACAGATCTAAGAATTGAAAATTTTAAATGTCAGTTCTGAAATTAAACATGAAAAGGTTTTGTGTATATTTTGCTACTTTTATATGTCGGGCGAATAGTTTCTTCATGTCGCGAATGAGCATCAGAATAGGTTGTGCAGAAAATGGTGCTCCCGTAGTATGTGCACATAGTTGGCACACGACCCGAACATAGTATGTGTACCAAGATAGAGGTATTAGGTTGTGCGCCATCTTGGAGCACTAGGGCTACTACGGGAGCGCCCTGAAAATACCCACATTTGCAACACCGACTTACCGAATACAAATTTTATACTTCCACAATTTCGCTTCCGATACTTTCTCACATGTATCATGATTTTTAAAACGCAATATTGGTATTGTACGTGCTCCCGTATACATTTCGCAATTTAACAGACACTCCAATTATTATTTTCCGGAAAGCAAAATTCATGCATCGGAATGTCAGAGTATATGAGTGGCGACGATGCAGTGCGACAACGTTCCAAATGTGATTGAATTTTTGTTGTCTCCGCCCTGTTCAATCTTCCATCTGGGCGTTTTGAACAGGTATGTACTCACTTCAAATATCAATACTTGCACCACCTTCGGGCAGACGTCGAATTGAAATTAGCGATAAGAATAGCACTCAATATACATCGGATTGTCTTAAAAAACATTTTACCGAGAAAGCAAAGTATAGTAAGTACTAAGTTCTGACGAAAATGATTTTATGAAAAGTATTGCAAAAATATAGGGCAACTGTAATCGAAAAAAATGAAAAATCAGGCACTCGCGAAATTTGACCCCTCATCACAAGTCCCAATCGTTTTTCTTTTATACCAAAAAAGACGTCATTTCAATCATACAAAAGAGTGTATATTTCAGTTTTCTGCTTCAAAGTAAGTATAAACATCGAGAAATAGGTTTTTACAAAGTGCCTGAAATTTCACAAGTGCCTGGTTTTAGTATTTTGTGCTTGATGTTGCCAGATTTTATCATTCCTATTCAATTTCAAATAAATCCAAAAAGTACGATGGTTAACTATATGTTGTCAAATGAAATTCCTCATTGTAAAAACGCTAAAATTGTTGTAGAACTAGGAATTTATTTTAAAAAGCAATGATTAGTAAGTTCTGACTCAAATAATTTAGAAAAATTGTTGCGAAAATATATGGCAACTGTTATCGAAAAAAATGAAAAATCAGGCACTTGCGAAATTTGACCCCTCATCACCCACCCAATCGTTTTTGTTTTTTACCAAAAAGACGTCATTTCAATCATACAAAAGAGTATATATTTTAGTTTTCTGCTCCAAAGGAAGTAAAAACATTGAGAAATAGGTTTTTACGAAGTGCCTGAAATTTCACAAGTGCCTGGTTTTAGTATTTTGTGCTTGAGGTTGCCAGATTTTATTATTCATATTCAATTTCAAATAAATCCAGAAAGTACGATGGTTGATCATATGTTGTCAAGTGGTATTGCTCATTGCAATATTAAAAACGCTCAAATTGTTGTGGAACAATGAATTTGCGTTAGAAAGCAAAGATTAGTAAGTGCTGACGCAAATAGTCTCGAAAAATTGTTGCGAAAATATATGGCAACTGTTATCGGAAAAAATGAAAAATCAGGCACTTGCGAAATTTGACCCCTCATCACCTGTCCCAACCGTTCTTGATTTTTACCAAAAAGACGTCATTTCAATCATACAAAAGAGTATATATTTTAGTTTTCTGCTTCAAAGGAAGTAAAAACATTGAGAAATAGGTTTTTACGAAGTGCCTGAAATTTCACAAGTGCCTGGTTTTAGTATTTTGTGCTTGAGGTTGCCAGATTTTATCATTCATATTCAATTTTAAATAAATCCAAAAAGTACGATGGTTGACCATATGTTGTCAAATGGTATTGCTCATTGCAATATTAAAAACGCTCAAATTGTTGTGGAACAATGAATTTGCGTTAGAAAGCAAAGAATAGTACGTGCTGACGCAAATAATTTAAGAAAGTAATTGAGAAAAAATATGGCAACTGTCACCGAGAAAAATGAAAAATCAGGCACTTGCGAAATATGACACGTCTCCATCAGTCACAAACGGTTTTGTATTTTACCAAAATGTTGTAAATTCAACCATACAAAGTGTATATATTTAATTTTTTGCTTTAGAGTAATCAGATACATTGCAAAATAGGTTTTGACCAAGTGCCTGAAATTTCACAAGTGCCTGATTTCTATATTTTATAATAAATGTTGCCACATTTTACTATTGAAAAATTATTTATACCCTAATAAATTGGAAATAATATTGTTTTATTGCAATATAGGGATACAAAAAATTATTTAAAGTCTAATTATCTTGTCAGGTAAATTGGAAACCCCAATGACGTACGGTAAAAATAAAAAATATCCAAGTGCCTGAAATGGTGCCTGAAAAAGTGCCTGAATTCGCAAGTGCCTGGTTTTAGGGAGACCCTTGTTTTCTTGCTTCTTCGTTTTTAGTGTTTGGTTGAGGTGAAATCTAGTGTACGGTGCCGGTATCGAAAAGGAAGCACAATGTAAAACGTTACTATTGGATTAATCAGAAAATAATTCAATTCACTAAGAGTAAAAAGTTTACTGTAACATTCGAGAGTTTTTAGCATTGATTCAAAATATTATCGAGTCAAGCATAGTGCACACTGTTCCAACTTCCAGAGACAAACATAGAGTTTGTTCAATTGAACTAAATGAATTGATGTCTTGGAATTGGAGAACTGTGTCTTACTGTAGAATGTAAAGATTGCAGTCGGTCTTGTGAAATAGGCCTATAGTGAGCCGTCTGTTTGTTCTACATCGGTCTTGTGAAATATAGTGTGCTGTCTGTTTGTTCTACATCATTATTCTGTTTAAAATCTAACAAATATTTTTTTATTAGAAAATGTAATAATGTCACGTCCAGTTGTATTATCAAAAGAGGTCGCTAAACCTTTGTCAGCGATCGAAAGAGAGAAAAGAAAAAATGAAGAACCAAAGAAACAATCGAGAGAAGAATGGCGGAAAAAGAAAGAACTTGAGGAGGCTCGGAAATTAGGAAACGCTCCAGCAGAAGTCGATGAAGAGGGAAAGGATATCAACCCTCACATTCCGCAATATATTTCTACAGTTCCTTGGTATGTTGACCCCACACAGCGACCGTCATTGAAACATCAAAGAGTACAGCCAGAGACTGTGAAAGAATTCAGTAAAATTAATGATTGGTATCTCCGTGGTGCGTCTACTAAAACTGTCGCGACAAAATATCGCAAAGGTGCATGTGAAAATTGTGGTGCCATGACGCATAAGAAGAAAGATTGTCTAGAACGACCGAGAAAAATTGGGGCTAAATTCACAGGAAATATGATAGCTCCAGATGAACATATACAGCCAGATTTAAATATGGATTTTGACGGAAAACGGGATCGATGGAATGGATATACCGCTGAACAACATGAAGATGTTATTGAAGAATATGCAAAAATTGAAGTTGCAAAACAAGCCCTAAAAGCTCAGAAGTTACAAGAAGAATTATTGAGCGGAAAAATGTCGGAACAATTGGACGATAACGACGATAATCTGAGCGATGATGATAAATATGCTGACGCAGCAGATATGCCTGGACAAAATTTTGACAGTAAAAGGCGAATTACTGTTCGTAATTTACGTATACGAGAGGACACTGCTAAATATTTGAGAAATTTAGATCCAAATTCTGCATACTATGACCCCAAAACTAGGACAATGAGAGAGAATCCTTACGCTAATCAAGGTAAAAATGAAGAAGAGCTCGATTTTGCTGGAGATAATTTTGTACGAGTAACTGGCGATACACAAAAAATGGCTTCAATGCAAATGTTTGCCTGGGAAGCAGCTGAAAAGGGGTCTGGTGTTCATTTACAAGCTGACCCAACTCGATTAGAGATGCTGCAAAGAACATATAAAGTGCGGAAAGAGGATTTCAAAAACGACCAAAGAGATTCAATTCTTGATAAGTACGGCGGTGTGGAACATTTAGATGCTCCACCGAAAGAACTATTGCATGCTCAAACAGAAGACTATGTGGAGTATTCAAGACATGGAACTGTTATAAAAGGACTTGAAAAAGCAAAAGCAAAGTCTAAATATATTGAAGATGTTTACTTGAACAACCACACATCTGTTTGGGGTTCTTATTGGAAGGAAGGGCAATGGGGATTCCAGTGTTGCCATTCAACTATTAAACAATCATATTGTACTGGGAATACTCTCAAAGAAGATACAAACGAGATGCCTGAAAAGAAACAAAATCGTATGGAAGCCTTGCAGGAAAAGCATTCTGCTTGGACGAAAGCTCTAGGTTTGGAAAACATCAAGACAGTAGATGAGGCACCACAATTGGAAGAAATCACGGAGATACAAAATGATGAAATTGAAAAAGAGACTGAAACTAAGTCATTGTTACAACAGCACAGAGAAAAATTAGAAAAAGGGAAAGAAAAGAAAAGCAAAAAGAGAAAGAAAAAAAAATCAAAGAAACGGAAAAAGAAAAAAGTGGAAAGCAGTTCAAGCAGTTCGTCGAGTGAAGAGACTTCATCATCGTCAGATTCTGATGAGCCGTCAGAGAAAAGACAACGAAAGAAAATGATTCACGAAGCGGAGAAGGATAAAGAACGTGCGATTAAAAAAGCGATTAAGATAGAAAAAAGTAGACAAAAGAAAGTTGATGAATTGATGAGACTTGATGAACGTAAACGTCCGTATAATAGCATGGTCGAGGTACAAGAACCAACACAAGAAGAATTGGAAGCTTACCATAGGACTAAGAAAAATATGGAAGACCCAATGGCTAAATTTATTTAGGTTATAAATGTGAGTGCAGCACACAATTGGGCAAATTGGCAATGTAATGGCGTACATCCTCTCCATGTAAATTCCATACTTGTTACAAATTAGAGGGTTCAAACCAAAAGGACAAAACCTCAAATAAACTGTTCGGTGAATTTGGGGAAAATACACATATTTTTATTTTGAATTCTGTTTTTAATCGAAATACTTTGGTGAATATCGCTTCAAACTGTAATTAGTAAACCAGATGGAAATACATCTATTTCTTTGTAAAATATCAAATGAAAGTTTTTCAAAACTTTAGGAGTTGCACTTTTGCCTTGAAACGGCCTAATTTGTGCATCAGTTTTGACATCTACGGTAAATATCATTGAATACTGAATTTCTGAATTTTATCAAAAGTTGAAAGTTTGCTCAAAACAAGGTCATGTGTACTCACTCAAAAGTAAAAAATGATGGTTCATAGGAAATTGAAATGAAACATGAGTATACTTTATTAGGGCGTTTTTTAGATAAAACTCCACTGAATTATACTAATTCAATAATTTACTATTTCGAATGTTCGATTTGTTTCAGACATCCTTATATGTGTAGGCCTAACTATGTATAATTGTATCTCTTTAATGTGTTAAATTAGATTCGCCATTCCTGTTATAAAGCATGACCATTTATTCTGATGTGAGTATATATTCTGGCTTTATTCAATGGATTGTATTGTTCTGTAAAAACTCATTCTCTTCTGTCTTGTTGTAAATATTATCCAATATGTTTTCAATGGACGAATGTGAAATCTTTAACAATATTAGAGGCAGTAGCCAGTAGTCCTAAATCTTCCATGATCCTTGGATCCATTTCAAAGACTCGAAACACTCCATATCAACAACCCTCAGAAAAAACAATGCTGTGTCCCTGTACAGGGGCTGATGGTTCATGTTGAGAAACCCTGATTTAGGCTTGTGTTTGGGAATTTGGAAACATATTTCTAATCATGGCGGAAAAGACCCCCCCCGCAGACCACACCTACCCCCACCCTTACATTAAATTTCCTGTCCCAAGTGGGGATTTCAATTTGTTCGAGATATGTAAAATTGTTTGTTGAGAGAAGTGATAAACTAACCGTGCTTTTACACATAATTACCACTCAAGGTTCGCTATGAAAAGAGAGTATTGTGCGATTGCAATTTTTTTTAGCTCAGTCATCCAGCTGGCCTCCTGGCAAGTTTTCTGTGAAAATATTCCTAATTTTCAAAAACTTGTTTTATTATCTTGATTATGTAATTAGTTTCAAATTGCTTGTGTACTGAAATTAAATTGACCTACAAACTACAGTATTCGAAAACCGACTAAGGAAGATGCTGAGGATATATTCACAATTGCGAAAGACCTTGAGGTTCATATAGAATGTCAAACAATGGTGGATTAAATAACAATTGAGCGATTCCAAGATTAAAGTTTTGGGAAAGAATAGGAAGATACAGTATTTTACCACATTTTTACTGAAGCAAAATCTGTCTCCATTTGAGTGGTGCAAACAGTGGATATGCTTTTTCTTGTTATTTTATGGTAACGAAGCTGTGTTTAGAAGATATAGAGTCTATGTGAAAAAAAGTCTCACAGAAGGGTCTAGGGTTGGAATTAATAAAAATACACCTGCCATTGCACCTCTAATTACCCTGTGAAGATAGCAGGTTCGATGCTCTGGGGGATAATTATGTACAAGATGAATGCTGGACTCATTTTCGACATAGATTGGAAACATGGAGGCTCGCTATGTGATTAAGCCACTCGCTTTTCCTCTCCCCTTGGATAAATAGGTATATGCATGATATCCTATTTCTGGGAATGCGTGGTTGATAATAAACATAATTAAAGACGATTCCAGCATATCGAGTAGGTTGTAATTTCATGACATAGACAGTAACTCCATTTGGAATGCAAGTTATGAGGACACAAATGAATGCACATTCTAATTTTTTGACCTCAATGACCAGCACTTCCTTATTGGTGCAATAAATTGGGAATAATCCTTGGGGAAAAGAAGAGACCTACCAAGAATAGTAGCTCCTTGCATGTTGGTATCTGCCTTTTTCATCATAAATAGCAAGTGAGTTGAGGAAATATGATTACGGGACGGTTTGAATCAAATTGTTTTGTAATTGTGGTTGAACTAAGCTACGGTAAGTGTCTTTCTTCTGAAAATAAGCTTATGTGGATATTTTATTTAATAAACACAATGGTAAGCAATGTATCTGACAGCAATTGTCTCCTACTCTCAACTGTAATATTATAACACTGGTGTCACATTCTTATTCATTTACAGTATCTCCCCACACATAGGCCGACCCCCTAAAGACGGCCCTAAAACAAAGAATTTATAGAAATTTGCATATAGGCCGACCTTACAAATCACAACATGCTGTACACACAAATGGTTGCAGAAGAAGATAATATAAATGATAACCATTACTGATATTGTTATTTTTCACCGACCCTTTAGTGTGATCAGAGATATGCGTATAAGCCTATGTGTATAACTTTTTTTAGTTTTAAACTCGGCTTATATGTAAGAATATACCGCACTTCAATACAGTAGGATATACGGTACCATTTAATGGTCTTTGTGTCACTCAAACATCATGCAGCCACCATCGCTAATACTTGTTTCTGTAATAATTGCATTTCAGCTCTGCATATAGTTGATTTAGAATGGAATTTACTTACAGTATTCGAAAAGCAACTGAAAAAGATGCAAAAGATATTTTTTTGATGTTAAAAGACCTCGCAGAATATCAAAGTCTGATGGACCAATGCAATTTAACGTTTGAAAGATTTTATAAGGATGGTTTTGTGGAAGATCCAGCATTTCATTGTATTATTGCCGAATCAAAAACTGCAACTGGGGGGGTACAGACAGTCGGATATGCTCTTTACTATTATGCTTACTCCTCATTTAATGGAAGAAGTGCTTTTTTAGAAGATATATATGTAAAGGAACCACACAGAAAACGTGGTATAGGCAGTGATTTGATGAAAAATGTGGTTAACATCGCTAAAGATAGGGGTTGCACGCAATGTCGTTTCTCTTGTCGTGGTAGTAACACAAATGCGTTGAACTTTTACAATTCAATGGGTGCAAATGATTTCACAGATTCTGAAGACTGGCATTCGCTTTCCCTAAAATTTGATAATTTATTGTAGAATTATGCAAATACTAGTTATGAAATTTGTGAAATATAATTGCACAGAATTCAGTAACCATTTTTTTTATTGTACGAATGATTCCTAGGGACAGGTTTGTCTTCCTGTAACCCCCCCTGTATAGTCATCTTACCAGACATTTGTGCATAACTTCTACTAAAAAGAGGATGGAGTAGTGTTTTGAAAGTATCAAAAGTGGTTAGGCGTAATCTCAGATATTTCACTCTCTCTTTTGTCTATTAAACAATCCCACATCCTTATTGCTAGTGTACCGTACACCCTACTGTTGTAATGAAGATATAGCCATGAAATAATAAATTTGACAGTATCCACTGGCATTGGGTGTGATCTGAATTTTTCAATTGCCAATTTATTATTCTAGACTGTGACGCCCCGGATTTACTTCATATTTACCAAAGCATTAGGGCATATATTTGTAGCATAATCTAAAGTGTGCATCAGCTATTTTGTTTATAACAGGAAAATGTTCCAAACTGTGTGATTGATCCGTTTTGTTATGCTTTTCCTGACAAATATCACAGAACAATCAATTGTGTGAACTAGATAGTTTCCTTTCGTTATAAATGCATTTTGTAGTATTCAGAAATGATTTCACGGGAAGACGTTTATTATTATAGAAGTTTACTATATTTTGTGCTTCAATCCCCCATGCTGCTTATACGTGATAATTAGGCAGGCTCACACCTTGTTATTGATGTATATTCTGCCTTCATAGTGTTGTTAAGCGATGAGAATATAAGAAGAATGTTCTTCCAATAATCAAGTATTTTGCAGGGTTTGAAATATTTACATCAAACTTTTTGCATTTACTTTTAGTGTCAATTTTTTAACGGGTAAATTTTGTTTTGAAATTTGCAAAAGTAGTGATTAAAAAAATGTGGTGAGAAGCCTCATCTAAATATAGTCCTCAATCATTATTATTGTTCTAGGCATGGAACAGTATTGAAAGAAAATTATTTTAACTTCGAGGCAATATGGCTCAACATGAAAATAATCAACCATATACTGCATCTTGAAATAGGAAGGCTAAAAAACTATAAATTGAAAAGATTGAGTGAAATGCAATTACCACTAAAAGTATGTTGATCTTAAATTATACATGAATCATGGTGTTATCAAATAATTTATTTTTTAATTGCATATTTAATCTTTTAAAAGTACTTTGTTTAAAATGGAGTTCACTTATAGTATTCGAAAAGCAACAAAGAATGACGCTAAAGATGTTGTATCCATGATTAAAGAACTCGCTAAACATGAGAAAGTGCTCGACAAATTCAAACTCACTCCAGAAAAGTTTCGGAAAGATGGTTTTGAGGAAGATCCAGCATTTCATTGCATTATTGCCGAAGCATGGCATGTTTCGAGTGGGGCAGTACAAGTTGTTGGATACGCTCTTTATTACTATGTATACTCCACCTATGCAGGCAGAAATGTATACCTGGAAGATGTATACGTAAAAGAACCTTACAGAAAACATGGTATTGGCGGTGAATTGATGAAAACGGTGGCGAAAATTGCTATAGAAAAAGAATGTTCACAGTATCGTTTTGCTTGTCTTGGATGGAATCGCAATGCCTTGAATTTCTACAAAAGCATGGGTGCAAGGGACCTCACAGATACAGAAGACTATCATATGCTTAAATTTGAAAAGAAAGAATTGCATGAATTTGCGAGTAAGTAAATAAGGATATTCAAGATGGCAAAATAGAAATCTATAGAAAGATTTGATGATTGTAGTGATGCTGGTAATATTTAAAGCATTACCTTACTAGTTGAAAGTGCATTGTAAAACTCCCTTTGTGTTGTTTAAGTTCTATGATCAACATGCTTCATTCAATTAATCCGTTTCACATCTTGCCGATATAGTATAGATACACCCCAGTGCAATTAATAGTATTTAGGAATTATAATATGTGTATCAAAAGTTCGTGATTTAGCAGTTTTCGTTTCAATTTTTTGTGTAGCACTTCTTTAAATATACAGCACAGATAGATACCTCTCAGTGCATTTTATGGTATTTATGAATTTTGTTCTTTCTTACTTTTGTGTCAAAGGTTTTTGATTTTGAATTTAAACCTCAACATGTTTTCACTTTTTGTGTATCATTTCTTTGAATATGCAGCACAGATACCTCACATTTCATTTTTGAGTATTTATGAATTATAATCTGTTTTGAATTTTGTTCTTTCTTACTTTTGTGTCAAAAGTTTTTGATTTTGAATTTAAACCTCAACATGTTTTAACTTTTTGTGTATCATTTCTTTGAATATGCAGCACAGATACCTCACATTTCATTTTAGAGTATTTAGGAATTATAATCTGTTTTATATTTGTGTCAAAAGTTTTTGATTTGTGGATTTGTGAATCTGAACCTCAACATGATTATATTCTTAATTTATTGCATCAATGAATATGCACTATAAATACCTCCTAATGCATTTTATAGTATTTGTCAATTATTACATTCGAATGGTATTTTGTGACAAGTTGTTTCTTTCATTATTTTATTTCTTGATTGCTGATAAGAAACTGCAATGTCGTACCCATTTTCTTGCCAAGTTGATTATGAAAATAAAGGAACTTTTTTGTATTGCATTCTACTAATTAGTGATAAGCATGCAAGTTCATGTTTCCTATAGGATTTGTGCCAACAAAAGTTATTTGACTTTATTTTTGATGCCAATTTTTAGTTGAGGATGACCAAAAAAAAACATTCAATAAGATATACTTCATTACATGTAGCGAATGTGCAATCTTTTTAGGCTCTTCAGACACAGTCTTTTCGTTCTATAGTTTTTAGGTCATCTATTACGAGGTACAGTACATGATAATTTGCTCTTGTTAGTTTTCTTGCCTGGTACAATTGATATGTTGTTTGTTTTATATTCAGCTCATCTCGTCTATACCATTTCTTCACATTTTACCTATTTATTGAGAAACCTTCATTCTCTACTCCTATTGCAAATGAGATTCCACTAGTGCAGTACCCGTTTTATTTCGTTTCACAAAAAAATACCATCACCGGGACCTGTTCCTGTTTATATTACAAGTTGAAACTTAATGGAGCTCAACCTGAACCCTAACCTGGTATACATACTATGTTCAGGTTGTGCGCCATCTTGGAGCACATACTTTGGGAGCTCCGACTCGACAGCATAGATTTTTCTCTTATTTATTAATGCTGTTTGCACTCCAGATCTTTATTATATACAGTATTTGTGTGTTCAATGGTACAGATTCAGAATATATTTTTCATTTTGATATTTCTGGCAACAATCATGAATTTATATACAAATAAATTTCTTTTTTTCTCAATTGTATATTTAGTCTTTCAAATTACTTTTGTTTAAAATGGAATTCACTTATAGTATTCGAAAAGCAACAGTGAAAGATGCTGAAGATGTTATATCTATGATTGAAGAACTCGCTGAGTATGAAAATATGCTCGACCAATGCAAACTCACACCGGAAATATTTCGGAAAGATGGTTTTGGGGAAGATCCAGCGTTTCATTGCATTATTGCCGAAGCAAAAACTGCAACTGGGGTAGTACAGACAGTTGGATATGCTCTTTACTATTATATATATTCTACATTCAAAGGACGAAATGTATATCTAGAAGATGTATATGTAAAAAAACCTTACAGAAAACATGGTATTGGCGGCGATTTAATGAAAACCGTTGCAAAAATTGCTATTGAAAAAGGATGTTCACAGTATCGTTTTGCTTGTCTTGGGTGGAATAGTGATGCATTAGATTTTTATAAATCTGTGGGTGCAAGAGACATGACAAACATAGAAGACTGGCATATGCTTAGATTTGAAAAAGTTGAATTGCATGATTTTGCAAGTAAATTAGGTAAAAAATGAGCGTTTACGGCGCAAACTGGTATTCAAAAACTTTGGTGATTGCAGATAGCATAGTACAGTACCTAATTATCTAAAAAATTTAATAGAGACTTGATGGTACATGGTAAACCTTAATTTTATTGACTAATTAATTTAGGTGTCTCTTTTTGTCTTGAAATAATCAAACTATTGACAAAATCTACAACCCTATGTGCAATGACTATAAAAATCATGACTTTTATGTTTTATTAGACGTTACAGCTACACTCGATTTGTCGAGAACTTTTACTTGCTATCCTTCATTTTAGCAAGATATTGGGCAGCGTTTTTTGAAAAATAAATGGTACTCCTGAGGTATGCGCACCAAGCTGTTGCACAACCTAAACCCCAACCTAGTACACAACCTAAGTTCAGGTTATGCGCCATCTTGGTGCGCATACTTCATGAGGTCCAAATAATTTCATATAACACAGCATAATAAATTATATTATAATTATTATTCATGTCTGATCGGAGCAGTAACGGTTAATGAATCAAGATTGCATTGTTCAGTGATTAAAAGTCGTTATATCTCTGTTTTCTGGACAATGTGTATAATATAAATAAAAGATTTCCAGCTATTAAATAGAAAGGACATATACTGAATATTTGGTCCCGGAAGGGATTATTAATAACTGCGTCGCCTGTGGGGAACTGCAATCTCACTGACCAATAATAACTGGTTAACCAATCCCGAAAGGCCGCAGTTTGATGTGACTAAGCCGCCGTGTAAACTTCCCTTCTCCCCGGGATAAGTATAAAAATGCCGTCTAAAAAAAGTCTGTATTACCCATCATTAGAAACTAAGTGTAATTAATTCCTTGCACACATAATTTGGAAATTATTAGATTTGGTAATATGGCGTTAAGTCATAAAATACGACCAGCAACTGAAAAAGATGCAGAAAGCGTCACCACGATGGTAAGGGAACTTGCTGAGTACGAGAATAACCTGGGCAAGTGCCGGATGACCCCTGAAATTTTTACGAGAGACGGTTTTGGGGAAAATGCAGCTTTTAAATGTCTAATTGCAGAAACCAAAATTGCTTCGTCGAGTGCTATTCAGGACGTTGGGTACGCAATTTTTCATTTTACATATTCTGTACATGGAGGAAGAACAATATATCTTGAAGATTTATATGTGAAGGAACCTCAAAGGAAGCACGGTATCGGGGCTGATTTAATGAAAGCAGTCGCAAAAATCGGGATAGAAAAAGGCTGTCTTCAATTTAAAGCAGCTTGTTATAAATGGAACTGTAATGCATTGGAATTTTACAAATCAGCGGGTGCTAGAGATATCACAGAAGAAACTGGACTGCATATTATGAGGTTCGGACAAAATGAAATGCAGATATTAGCTGAGGAAAAATAATATGCAAAGGCTGTTTTGTTACACGACCTTGCTAAAGTTACGTATGTGACGGCCTTTTTAGACTGTGTCAAAAGAAAATTTTCCAGTTCCAGGGAATTTGGTAAATTGGTTTGGATATATTTGTACTGAGGAAAAAAAATGCCGAGGCTACGATAGGAAGGTGCAAGGAGTTGACCACAGCTTTGCACCAGATACACGGACAACCCAATTATAAGAGCTGTTAATAGGAAAAATTCCATTGGGGGAAGGATGTCTTAATATGTTTCTCACAACTGTTTTATCATATTTGTGAAGCCATTATCTGGAAAGATAGACTGGTTAATTCCATGCCCAGAAAAGAGCCATAATACCAAGCAAGCGATCATTTCATTTCTATACTTTGATGGAACTTATTGCAGAAGTAAAATGAAACAGTGATCAAAAAAGATAATCAAAAATCCAATTAAACGACATTAACAAACACATGCGTATGGAACTACAAATACCACGTGGGGACAGAACAAAATGAAAAGCTAGGCTATAATTTGGTAAAGAGATATACATATCTTCTTACCCGATTTCCCTCCAGAGTTCCTAAATTTTTAAAAACTGAGATTATGTGCAAATAGAATTTCATGAAAGTAAAATTAAAGAATATACTTTTGTGCATCCATAAATATTTTGTAAATTTTGCTTGCTTGGAAGGGGCAAGTGTAAATATGAGAAGCAAGATCATGGTTTGTATCAGTCTTTATCTAATTTTCCTGTACATTTGGAATAGCTCTGAAATTAAAATACACCTGTAAGCAGTGTTGGGATCCAGCCGGTTCGCACCGGTTCTATAGAACCGTCTCACAGAATTTTATGGGATCAGCGAAGTGGTTAGCCTTAATCAGTTTATTTGCTAAAATAATATGACTTTTTGTAACAGAACCGGCTGAAAAATATGACTTTTGTGATGGAACCGGCTGACAAAAAATTTGAATCCCACCACTGCATGTAAGCAGTTAGATAATTAAAAAAAAACATGTGACCAGTGAAGAGTAGTGCATATGTACAAATACTTAAGAAAAAGGGTTCTAATATAGCGCGAGGTCTGGTGGGAGATCTACCTCAAACTTGCTTGAACTACATACAGCGCAAGGTGTTTGTTTTTCAAGGTAAAACTCTAATTGCCCCTAATCGATGTTAACTAGTTCAGGCCAAGGAAGAATGCAACATTGCAGGTGACAGACCTCGCGACTACATTATCGTGAACAGAAATTCAATCATCTTTTGAAGCAAATCCTTCCTCTGCTTCGCGTTGAAAAACATTCGCCAGCTCCACAGAGTTCATTCTATCGCCGATACATTTCTCATCATCGCAACATTTATCTGTTTCTGGAACTTTTACCCAATCTTCAGTTTCTATGTTCTCACCCTTCTCCAAAGGGTTGTCATGCGTTTTGATGCCATTTTTTGAGGGGGCAATGTCTTGCATTGGCAATGTTTCAGGCTCTATTTGGGGAGGTTTAATCGTGGATGGTTCAGGATTATCCTTCTTTGGCTTTGTTGCTTCATCCCTCAGTAGTTTCTGCTTCTTTGCTTTTTCAGGTGATTCCCCATCTTTGTAATTAGATTCCACTTGTGCAGTGTTGGGTGTTGTTGTTTCTGTGACAGATCTGGCAACAGTGGGCTTCTGAACTTCTTCAACAGCTTGTATCACCGGTGGTGAAATCTTTGCTGGGAAAAATAAATAGTTTTTTCTTTTTTTTAGTCTGCATCATAAACATGGATAGTTGCCTGTCTTGATGACTCAATCATACGATTAAAAAGTGAACATAGAAATCCTCCATGACTATCTCACAATTGATTAACCGGTTTACTTCTGCCTACTACCATTGGTGAAAGTGTGACAACAGGCCTTGGTTCACACTGAATTCATTAATTTCCTCTTCTATCGTAATCTCTAATTAAGTAAAACAAATACAACAACTCTATACACGTAAATCACTGACATTCATGTCTTTAATGAAGGCTCGCGACCATGCTTTGATCAAACTCACATTAAGAGACGTTCCAGAAGTGTGTGTACCAATATGGAGGTAACTAATTTTGTTCGCCTACTTTACATCAAGTTGTGTAAAGGGACTGAAAGCCTATGGGCAGAGGTATATTCACTTGGCTAACACAGACAGTACCCAAACTCGTAATAGAATTAAAATAAGGAAAATCGGAATAAAATTATGGCCTAACATGGTACACACACTACGGGAGTACCCATTAAGAAACTAAAACTCACTAATAATACAAAGTTATGAGAAATGCTTAGGCCAACCAAGTACACTTACATTCACTCTCAAGATCATCCTCACTGTCTTCGTTTAAGAATCGCTCAAAACCAATTCGAAACGGCCTCCTCGCTTGATTTTCTGATGATACTGGATAAGGTAATGCACTCTGAGTTGATGGTTTCTGTTTTGATGGATCTCTATTAACTGAGAATAAACATAGTATAATCGTTAAGACACTTGCCAACCTACTTCCAGTCACCAAACGCAGGTTTGGATTTTCTATGGATGATTTAATGTGATTGCTGGACCTAAAATATATATAAAAATCTATGCATATGAAATAATTGAGTGTTAGGTATTTGCATATTCAAAATGGACAAGACTCGAGTTTGCAATAAAATTAAGCTCATTTCCTCCCAAGATATCAAGAAAGAAAAAAATCTCATCTAGCATCCAAGTTTCATTTTTATGTCATTCAAAAATTGTAGCTCATTGTATTAGTGGCTGCTTGTTTGGGGTGATAAAGTCCTGATGAATACCTGACAAAGAACAGAAATGAGCATAAAATGTCCATATCTCAAATATAGATTTTCAATAATTTCCAATCTTCCTAAAAAATAATAGCCCGCTCCGCTCCTTATGTATGAATCTTTTAGGAGCCTTGTTACTAAAAAAGAAAAGAAATATTTCAGCATGCCCAATTTTGACCCAAAGACCCTAAAACAATCTTAGGAACCTCCAGTTGCATATAATTTTGTCTCTGTGGTATTCATTTTTTAAATACTCACATCCAGCATCCCCAGTTGCAAAGCCAGGTCGTCCTCGTGACCCAGGTACAGTGTGTCTTCTTCTGAGCTCTCTCGCTCCTGTAGAACCGGGGTCATTATACCCACTTTGGAAAGGTCTGTAACCCTGCGGATCAATTCGCAAGTCCTCGTTTTCTCTAGGATATGCCGGGGAGTTAAAATTAGGATAAGGAAGGTCATTTTCTGGGGCTTCCTGTTGGGGGTATGGTGGTGGGGGACGTGATGGTTCAGGGGATGGAGTTCTGCCCCCTAAGCCGAAGTAACCCAAGATGGCTTGTGCCCTGCTGGGGCTAACTTGAGGAGGGGCAGGTAATGCTTGTTGCGAAGGTCTTTCGCGTAGTTCACGGATTGTTTCTTGCAATTGGTCGATGTGTCGTCTGAAATGGAATCTTGTGTAGTATTTATTTCACCATATTATAATAGTACACAAACGATAAATGAATGTGGGAATAAAGGAGCTGTAACACTAAGGATTGGAATCATTAATATTATTGGTGGATGTCTCGCCACCGTATGGTGGTTTTACACCTCTTTCCACAACAAGCCCATGCATCCGAAAGAAATTACTGGCCAACTAATACCATACCCGACTTGGATTGGTAACTGGACAAGGGGCCATTGTATGCCATATGATTAAGCGGCCTCATCAGTTCTCCTCTCAAAATAAATAGGAAAAATATGCCTATTGTAACAAGGTCTAAGTTAAGTCCAATCTTCAAACCTGTAATTTATCACACCCACAAGACTACTAATTTTGTAGGGGAACACCAATCACAATCAGTCAGTCAATTTACAAATACGCACATCATACCTGTTGTCTTCCAAAACCATGTCAAGTTGCGGATTGTGTTGAAGAGTCTGTTGGGGTCCCATCTGTAATCCGGTCCAGAATGGCAGATTAAAACTGAAGTTATATCCAAAGAATACTGAAAAGTAAAGATAGCTTGGCAAAGAGTCGGGTAGTATATTTTATGTCTATTATATCATAAGCTTTGAGTAAAAGCATATTATAGATGTACCCTATTGTCTTCAACTAAAAACATTGGATGGGGATTGTGAACAGGAACAGTTGAAATAAATTATCAACTTGGAATTTTGAAGAAAACTATTTAGTTATAGGCATAGATGGGTTGTTTTAATATGAATGACGTATAATATACTGCACACTGTTCCTAAAATATTTTCTCAGGCCACTAGCTGTGTTAGGGCGTTGGGAATATGTTCCCTAAAACAGGCCCCTCCCCACCAATTGTGCGGATAAATCTTACTGGACTCTTAGTGTAGGGTCATATCATATAATTGTGCCTTGCTATCTACTTTCCTCTCCCTCTAAGATTAAATATAAAATTCTATACTTCTCATTGTACCTGATATTATCAGTAGAAATCCAAGTATAATAAGAACAACAAATATAAAAGCAGGAATCCATAATGTAATTGGCAATCCTTGGAAAACATTCTTGAAAGATTTACTGAACGCTGTACCAATATGTTCCATTGGTTCCACAAGGAATCGTGTCAGTGTGACTGCAATAACCTAAACAAAGATGAAGATTTCTGATTGGTTGTTACCAGTAGTTATTGGTTACTGGTATTCGATAAAAATTGCTAGTCCCAAAGCTGGGCCATTGGAGTTGAGTTAAGTCCGAAATCGAATCAATCACAGAGTTGAGGCTGACTGGCGATTTACCGGTAGTTGAAAAGTTTGAGTGATTTCATCAAAATGACTCGAGTAACATGAGGTCTTCAATAAATGGTGGCTCAATTGAATAATATTCACATATTTATCCCAGCGGAATTGCTGATAAGACGACCTAATTAAATGTCGCACCACGGCTTCTCGTCAGATTACCAATCCATGTCGGGTACTATATGGGATCAGTTGGCCAATTATTTGTTTTCAGATGCATGGACTTGACCAAACCAAAAATAACTCTGTACTCAGTACATAATGCCTGACTGTCTACTGAAAAAGATTGTGAATTCCGTAATATTGAAAATCAGTTTCCATCTTGTAAAAGTTGGACTTTAAAACAACAGAATTACCCTGACATGGGCAAACTACAGCCTGTTGGACGGATTCAATTTGGCCCGCCTGATGCTGTCATAAGTTTCTACTTTTAGTCAATTCTGCATGCACTACATAGTTGCTGTTATTGAAATCGCAAATCTGTTTTGACAATTGCTATAACAAAACTAAAACCAAATTTTGATGTTTAGCTAAAAAAGAGCTCAGGGAATTTGTTGAGATTGCGATTTAATTCAGTTTTGGCACAAGGCTTATCGTTTCCACTTTCGCTTTTGTAACACTCTTCATAAAAGGGACCTTTTTACATCACACTTATATGGCACGCCCGTCTGAATGGGCAGAATTTGAGGCCCCTGGTCCAAAAACCTTGCCTACCTATGGAATAACCTGATAGAAAACAAATTAATGTTACCTTTGTTGGAGTAACTCTAATATGAGGACTGATGAGAAAATTTGCATGATATTCTGCACAAGGATCTTTCTTGACACTGGAAAAAAATTACAATGAAAATTATTTCAGCAAAAACATTTTAATTGCGTAAAGACTGAGAAACATGCAAACATGATATCAAATTCATAAACATAAAGATGAAAAAATTCATTAAAAAATGGAGTGACAAAAAAATCTTGAAATCTTTATAAAACGAAGCATAGGATTCAAGTCCATACTGTAGACAAAGTGTTGAAGAACAGTTTATCGAATGAAAAGTGGCTGAAAATTTAGATGATCTAAGAGCAACATTGTAACTGGCTCAATTGTTGGTTTGGTTTAATCATAAGGAATCAAGTATATTCTGGGGGCAATGCCCAATCATTGCGGAAAATCTTTCTAAAAGTTGTTGCTAAAAAATATGCAAGATGCTATAATTTATCGGAAGGACCATACCCTTTCCAGTTCGGAAATTGCCTACACATTTTTACATCTTGGGTAAGATGGTGGCATGGGATTTGAACTTGAGCTGTGTGACCTACATTGCCAACACAGTTGAGTCTAACTTCAAATACTAGACAAATCGCCTCTGCAAAATCCTACTTAAACTTGTGTGCGAATAGGTTCCGATATCAAAGCATGAGATCAATCGAAATCATTTGTCTTACCTAAACATATCATTGTAGACAGAACTTAAACTGTTCCAAAAAGAATTGTCTTCACTTTCTTTTCCTAAGCATTCTTTGGGAATATCAGTTGACTTGGACTTATGTTCTGCTTCAGCAAGCTACAAACAAAAATAAATTATTGCTTTGTGACAAGCAATCTTATACCTGTATTTTTTAATACAATTCGTTTTAAAGAACGTCACAACATATGAAATGACAATGGTTGCATAGACTATATGAAATTATGGTGCATTTCGTACCATTACTTCAACAGATTGTCTTGTATTTCAATAGACAATTTTTCCAAAATAATTTGCCCACAGCAAGTTCGAACATACTCACTCAGAAGTGAAAGTGACTCTTAGTTGAGCCAAATGACGCATCTGAAATGCTTCATGCAACGCTGTGAGCTACAGAAATTATCCAATTTTGGAATATACTACTATATTGGAAAAAACCTTGAACACTGATTCACTGCTTAAATTAAACCAAACCTGGCTAAGATATATTGAGAACTGACTTTATAAACACTCTGTATAAATATTCATAATATTACTTTGATCTCACATTTGAGTCAAGTACGCAACCCATCAGCAAAAGACTAAAACACCAAAAAATATTTTACCTTCAATTCATGGACGTAAGTCATTGCCAAGCTGATTAGAAATAGGAGAATAACAAGTCTTTTTATTTGTGTTGTCCATGATATTTTGCTTATAAATTCCAACGTCAATATTGCAACGAGCAAAGCAACACAAACACCGAGCTACAATGTAAAAATAAAAATTTCAATAATGGAATCAAAACTGTTATGAATAAATTTGCTTTTTAGAAGGATTTGCTTAAGAAGGCCACACACATTTGCTCAGATATTAAAGATGAAAATGCAGAAAAATAATAATCATAATTTGTTACCTTGAGGAAGTCTTGAAAAGGCATATGAATGATATCTTCAAACCTTTTGACCCATTGTGGATCGACGTCATTTACAGAAACGTGAACGTCCAGTAACATGTCTTCAAGTACTTTGGTTACTTCCTTCATGAAACATAGGATAAAGAGAATATCGCAAAAAGAAAATTAGAGTGTGGGAGATTCAAGTTTTAGGACAGAATTGAATTTATCTTAGAAAGCCGATAAGGCGGCTTAATTATAAGGCAAACTAGTTATTTCTTTTAGATACATGGGCTTGATGGTGGAAGAATACAAAACATATCAGCAGTTACATGAAAAACCCATTAGATAGCAAGGAGTCAAACAATCCTCACACACATGATTACCACAACCGGATTCAGGATATTCATAGGTATAATGACAAGTGAAAGCCTAACGCTCAGCGAACCAAACCAAACATGTGGCTTTATAACACAGATTGATGCATCGATTTAAACATTCACCAAAGAAAGCAGTTTTATAATATTTAGCTTTAAAATAGGCTTTTTTTCATACGATTTACAAATGTGTTTCTGCCGCTTTATATCTGAACGAGGTCAGACTTTTTCAAGAACGCATAATTCAATCACATTGGAGTATATTTAAAAAACACAAATATATCTAATTCACTACAAAAAGGCATTTTTACTCATGTAATTCATAAATTATATTTTTCCCATTTTTATTTGTAGATTGCTCATAAACTTACTAAATCATCTCTACAATACCTGTACATTAGCCTTACAATCTTCAGCAAACTCTTCTACAGCAAGCCAATTCTCGCTGTTCAAATGAATGGCAAAGTTGTAGTCTTGTATGTGAGGAGGCTGTAAACATAATAAAAGGATTGGGAAGGAATAAAAGCGGATTTCATACTTAACCCAGGAGAGAGAAAAGTTTGTAGAAGATTTAACAATTTGGTAAACCACTATAACTAAACTTCGAATACAGGAGTATAAAAATTGATTTTTATACTAGTGAGAGAGATTATACATTATACATCACATTATAAACAGTGCAGGTTGCGCATAACACTAGCTAAACATTGTTTATTGAATGGAAATTATTTTTAACAAAAAACGTAGTTTTATGCATATAAAGGGGAGGAATAAAGAAATTCAAAATATGGGAAGAGGGAATTATATCGAAAAGGGCGCTCCCGTAGTATGAGCACCAAGATGGCGAACACTGGAACGTAGTATGTGTACCAGGTTAGGGTTAGGACATAATTTTATTCCAATTTTCCTTATTTTAGTTCTACTACTGGTTCAGAGACTAGACTGGTGATTCCCGTGGTATTTGTACCTGAAATTATGGCCTAACCCCAACCGCCATCTTGTTTCACATACTACACGAGTACCCCAAAAAGATTAGGAACCACTGCTAAACAGTATCAGATGCATAAACTTGGATGGCTCAACACTCAAGGGGCAAGAACTTCATGAATCCACAATGATATTAATCAATATACATTAATCATTCCCTATGGGATTCAAACTTATGTGGGGTAATTATTATAGATGTACCGTATTTTCCCGAAATTACGCCTATATCGAGAATAGGCCGACTCCCTAAAAACGGCCTTAAAACAACGATTTTATAAAAAATCGCACATAAGCCGGTCCTACGAATCGTTACACGCCGGACGCTTCAAGAAAAACTTAATAGAGAACAAAATTACTGTAACGCAAACATTTCTTACGTTTATCGTTTCTGCATGTTAGCGAGGGCCGTAGGTGGATTATTACCCGTAACTCTTACTTGTTAATTTATGTTAATAAAGTCTATATTGCTTTTCAATGTGTTGTGATTGTGTCGGGAGTTTAAAATAGAGTTCCTGAATCAGCATAAAACAATTTCCTTTGATCGCCACAACGACGATTAATTTCGTTCCTTGTCCGTTTCAAGGAAAGAAATAACGCTGTATTAACACATTCTTATAAATCACTACGAATCTTAACACGCCAGACGCCTTAAGAAAGGCGCAGAAAGAAAACAAAATTGCTGTAACACAAATATTTCTAACGTTTATCATTTCTGTTTGTTAGCGACGGCCGTAGATCCTTACTCGTAACTCTTACTTGTAAATTCATGTTAATAAAGTCTATATTGCTTTTCATGCGTAGTGATTTGTATTAATGGAAGGGATTGTTGTCGGGAGTTTAAGAGAGTCCCTGAGTCAGCATGAAAACAATTTCCTTTGATCGTCCACAACGCGGTTAATTTTTGATAAGAGTCCTTATCACCGCCCCTTCACGGATAACATATCCATATCGTAAAGGTGATTAAAAGTCGTGCACCGTTAATTGCCGCTATCGCGAAAGTGCATCAAATAATAAAGTTTTCATCATGAAACGACTGGCTGTAAATCGACACTCTTGCTGTTATATAAAAGAAACACAAGCGAAAACAAACAATCACAGCCTGTACAAGCATCACGTGTTAAACAACCAATCACAGACTGTACAAGCCATCAGCTGTATGATAAGACAATCCACTTTCACAAGCGAGTGTGTGTGTGCTGCGCGATGCTTTTTATCGTGAGAACTTGGTATGGTTTGAAGCTTTTGGAATTACCGGCAAGTCAGCATAATATCATCTCGTTGCGTGATCAAATTCTGATACGTGAATGAGCCGGTTTTTCTGGTGCAATCTGAGTCATGCGCGTATAAGACGGTCCCTTAGTTTGGCAACTTTTTTTTTGAGTTTTAAACTCGGTCTATACGAGATCATATACGGTAATAGTGAAAGTGTTTCTCATAATTTAAACAATGCAAGTGTTTCTCATAATTTAAACAATGCACAAACTGATGAGACAAAACAAAAACAACAATTAATTTAGAAATCAATGAATTCACAAAATTAACTCACAGTTCCAACATGTTTCAGTTTGGAATGCAGAACACCAACAAATCGTCGCAGAAAAGGATGTTTACATTCTGAGCTCGTTGACGGATCAAATTCTGGAATAGGTCAAAAATAGCAGTTTAGGTAATAATTTCCATACTTTATTACAGAAGGTTGAATTTTTTTCATAATTCACATTTACTACACAGAAGAAAGGAGAAACCAATTTTTCACATTTTAAAAAGTCAAGTTGTCAGAAACAACTATTGTATATATAAAACAACCTTTGTCATTTCTCAAATCAGATTTTTTGAATTGGCTCTTGTTTTCTTGTTCTTCAATTGTATAGGACGATTCATATTTTTTGTGTTCATCAGGTTCAGGTTTAGCTTCAGTGTTACTCCCAGCTTGATCACTGTTTGTCTGGAAAAATTATGGCGATTATCACAGACAAGCGAATGCACATTTCCTACAGGACATGAAGCTACAAATTTACCAGAGTAATTGGGCAACAACAACCCTAATCTATTCCTGACCTATAGTGAAATAAACAGGTCTCCTGAAGTACACGACGCAAGTACTTCAAGTTGGCCTGGCTCAACATGTCATTCTTAACCCCCATCTGAGTTCTGACTATGTCATCTAATACAGCCCTCCAAAGTATGCGGATGATCGCGCAGACAATCCTTCGAAATCTAGCAAGCTATTTCTCTCATTTTCTCGCCAAAACGATACAGCTAAGAGAGAAATCGCAGACGTTAGCAAGTTCATTATAGTCGGCACAGATGCCATTTCTGATGATTGTAGCTATACCGGTAATTTAGCAAGCTCTATGGTGCGATTGTGACATCGCAGTGACTGAGTGATGTAATTTTAGGGTGACTTGCTCAGGTGGGGGTTAGGAATATTATACTAATAAATCGTTATGCTACGTTTTCTTGAGGTACTTGAGAGCATATACTTCAGAAGACCCAAATAAACAATAGTAACAAACAAACATAGCAGACGAAGATATATTCTGATATTGGTAGGTTAGTTACCGGTACCAGATATAGAGAATGGCATAGGATTTACATACTCATCCCGGAGGAGAGGAAAGCTGATAAGACGGCTTAACCATATGGCAAACCACGGCCTCTCAACCTGTTTCCATTCCATGCCCTGATGTTGGGTATGGATAGTTATTTGTTTTCAGAAGCATGGACTTGCTAAATGTCTTTTTTCAAAGGAAACTAATTTTGTGGCATCAAAAAGCAACAAACAGTAATGAACAAAAAGAAATAGAAAAACTGTAAACAATCACTAACTTTTGTTTTTTCTTTCTGAGCACTTGTCTCCTCCTGAGTCTCGGTTTTCTTGTTTGTTTTGGTAGCGTAATCGAAATTTAGCATGTCAGTATGGTCAACCCAGCCTTCAGGAATTTCAAATTCGTGTTCGAAGCACAAAGTCGTAAATGCAAATTGTCCAATAAGAACGAAGAAGATAACAAAATACGACCGCATTTTGAACAACTAAGCTAGATCAAACATTACCAATACTTTTTTTTTGCCAAATATCATTCCATAGCCAATGTGGACATTTTTATGGTATAATTTTTGTTTTTAAGATTAAATCAATACATTGATTATAAATAATTTGGTTTCGAAGATTTGTTTTGGAAGACAATCACATGTTTTGCATTCCAGTTAATTTCAATATGAATAATATAGTTTTACCATACAGATACAATAAATACATTTATATACACAAGTATTATATTTTCATCCATTTTTGATAGTCCATTGTTTATCATAAGTCCATTTGATTTGACAGTTGTCCATAACGCCACCATGGTGCAGACACATAGTTATATATTTTAGATTAGCATGGAAAAACAAGATACATTGAAAAATTAGACAGGGAATTTGAAAAGCCCATCATGCTGTTAGGATTTTCCTATTTCCCTGACTATGTTAACACTTGACCTAAATATAAATGTGACCCATAAACCTATACAAATCCACACTTAATCAAATTTAATCAAACCATTATAGATTTTTGAAGGATTTCATCTATAGTTTCATCAAGAAATAAATTTTCTTGATCACAGCTCGGCTTTAATTTAATGATGCCTATGAGTTTGCATTTGAGAATAGCCCTCATGTTGCACTGCATCTGACAAACCTCATCGTATTTAACACTATTTCTGAATTCCCAAATCGTTGACTTAGCACAATTTATAATTAATTATTTTATCATTACCAATACTAAATCATGACAGAAACTTTTTGAGGAAGAACAAATTGACGGGGGATCCCCCGTTAATCTGCACAGTGCCAGAAAGCGACGAAAAAAATGATTTTTTTTTCAATTAAACTAGCATAATTAATTGGAATAAAAATTTAAATTGTAAATATGTTTAAATATCTGTAAAAGATGACATTTCACAAGTGTCAAATGAATATTATATTGAAGATTGAATAGAGATATATAAACTCGATTTGCAGACACGAACCTTTCGTTCATTGGTCTTTGCGATTCCATGACTAATCGTGACTATGCGATATCTGCTATTTGCAAACAAACGGAGGACAGGCTTAGTTGCTGGCTCGCCCATTTCGGCAATCGTTTCTGCGTTTAGTCTGTTTCTGGATTTTCTTAGATTTCAATCGATAAAAAGGAACGTAGCTCTAAAATACAATAATCCGTTTCGACAACTGACAAGGTACAGAGGTAAGTTAATACTGAGATAAGATTGTTGTCACTGTATACTGGTATAGATGATGCAATTTTCTGATTTTGGAATTCACCTTTGGCATTCAGACATTGATAGCCTACATTACATTTTCATCAAGTTTAGAAGTTTCATCTGTTGATTACCACATTGCTCAAATGAAGATCATAAATCTGCGAATACTTAAATTGTTTACTCATGTGAATATAGAAATCTAGATAATTTCCTAAAACTGCTAGTTACCAATCACTGAATCCATGTTGGCTATGCCAATGGTATTCATGTCAGACGCATGGACTTGATGATGGAGTAAGATGTAACCTACCAGATATTACTGTAGCCACCTGACAATGGCGAGGAGCCCAGCAATCCTCTCACACATGGGTATCCCACGATGGAAAGAGTGTTCCTAACACTTGCACTTATCATCATATTTTTTAGATGGAATCATTGCTGAAGTCACTTGATATTTCTGATCCAACTCTTCGTGAGTTGACGGATGCAATGAGGCGTGAAATGGGTAGAGGATTGGCAGCAAAAACAAATGAGGAAGCAGAGATAAAAATGCTGCCAACTTATGTGACTGGAACTCCTGATGGAACAGGTATATTATATAAATTGTATTCGTTTCCAATTATAAAATGAGACAGAATTTGAATTGGGTAATTGAAGTTACAATTTTTAGATAATTATAAATCACCATTTGTTTATTAGGCTATTGGTAAACAATGATTTACCAAATTAAAGTGTTTATAGGCCTATGTTGGAGTCAAAATTTCTCATCTTTGGCTCAGAATTTGTAGTCAGAGTTATGTATAAATATCTCCCACTCCCCAAATCAGTCATTAAACGTGAACTTGTTACTCTGTAGAATGGTAGATTTTTTGATGCATATCCCTATTCAAAAAAATTGTGATATACGCTTCCGGCCAGCGCAGTAATGCTAATTCATTAGTAATTCAATTACCTTAAATGTGTTTACTTCTCATAACTGGGTATTATAGACTTTTCAATCTTTTATTATTGATTCTGGTATTCGTATTCTTAGAGAAAAATGAGGAACCTATTTCTCGCCCGTGAGACTAAATAATTCATAATTGCTAACATAACTTTGTGTTTCCTTGCGCACATAGTAGTGGCTACTGGCTACCATACATGCTTAATAATATCTTGTTTGGTGCAAAAATGTGAAACACTTCAGTTTTATGTTGGCATCGCAGAGGCTTCTTCACTGAACATCGAAACCCTTAAGTAAAACTATCACAAATATCAGATTTTTATTCAATCATTGCTACTCGGGCCACATGAATAATTTGTCATCCCTGACATTTTTATGTCTTTTACAGAGGATGGTGAATTCTTGGCTCTTGATCTCGGAGGAACAAACTTTCGAATATTGCTTGTTAAAATCGTCGCCGGTGAAAATAAAAATATAACCATGGATAGTCAGATATATCATATTTCACAGGACTTAATGACTGGAACTGGTACTCAGGTAGATCTATGTTTTTGTTTGATATGAGTAAGATGTAAAAACAATACTTTTATTAATTATGGCCCTATTAGCCTGTGTGGCCTGATCATGAACCATATATGTATCACAGATAAAATTGTATCCATGTTTTCCATCCCCAAGAGGGAAATATTAATTGGTACTTTCTAACGCCTTTTAAGAGGCATTTCTTGACTATACTCTGAACCAGTATCTGGGCAAGCAATCACAGATATCTATAAGCTATTAATTTTTAGGAGAAATCACATCTTTCGGATCAGCATTGAACACTTTTTTCAAAGTATATTATAATGTATAATATAACACCCTGGTTCTGGTGGTTAATATGAGTGCGTAACCCTAAATCCTTAATCTGCATTGTCAGAATAGTTACTTCAACACTCTAAATCAGGGGTGTGCAACCTGCGGCCCACGTAGAAGTGCCAATTTTGAATTATGTGCGTCCTAAACCTGAGCTTGTGCGAAGCGAACAACACATGTAATCAGATCAATAACCAAAATTTTTGTACCTGCAACCACTAAAAAGCCTATGTTGGATAAGGGTGTGGCATGCGATTTCACCCAGTTATTAGTATCTGACCCTCCTGTAATAAAGGTTGCACACCCCTGTTCTAAATAACTGAATGTTTCATTATTATCATACCAAATAAAGACAGCAGCATTTTTCCACATCAAATAATGATGATATAAAAAAGTATACTCATTATCTCAATTTCCTAGCTTGAGTTCAGTAGGAAGAGCAAGAATTGTTTATTTTCTGCAAAGGGGCATCGTCAGTTTCACTCCAGCTGAAATGTTATATATTTTTTATTCTAGCTCTTTGACCATCTTGTGGATTGTTTATGGGATTTCCTGGTGAAACGTGGACTGATGTGTCAACTTCTACCTATTGGATTCACTTTCTCTTTTCCCACTATGCATCTAGGAATTGACAAGGTAGATTTCTTTATCATTGTCAAAAAAATAAACATTACTTTTGTATCTTCAGGAAAAAAGTCTTGGAAGTAAAGAAAATACACTTCTAAAATTCTATTTAGCTTCAACTGTATATTATTTCTTATTATTTTATGATTGGGTAGTACTTATTTACTTATTTACAACATAATATATACGTGGATCATTTTGAATAGCTTGTGCTTATGCATCGCTTTTCTCGGTGCCTTTGTCACTGTAATTTTAATTTTTTAATTTGTTTTATCGTTCAATTTATTTAGAATTTTTTAATTCAATGTGTGCATGGAAAAGCTATTTTCTGTGTATGACCCAGCTAGATATCTGAAGTTGGTTATAGGGCCCACCGACAAAGAATGTTACACATCCCTGTAATAGAAAGTGAAATAATCAGCCGTTGTATGGTGCTGAGCGTTAAGTAACAAGCTTACCATCAAAGCGGAGAATATCCTGATTGATTTTGCGAGTTCAAATGGTGATACTTCCGAAGTATGTGTACCAGGTTAGGGTTAGGCCATCATTTTATTCTAATTTTTCTTATTTTAGTTATATTACGAGTTCAGGGTATTAGCCAAGTTAATAATACCTTCTGCACATAGGTTTCAGTCCTTTTACGCAACTTTGTGTAAAATAGGCTAACAAATTTAGTTACCTCCATTTTGGTACACACACTTCTTGAGCGTCACAGGAACCTGGTCTATTCGATCATGAAGCTATGAGTTGGTGAATTCTGCATGACTGAAGTTCATGGAAAGAAACTTTGGGAACAGAGTTTACTTCCTATTTCATGACTCTACCTTTACTATTTATGGTCCACTTTTTTTAGACAATCTTGCTTCGCTGGACAAAAGGTTACACAGCAAGCGGAGTAGAAGGTGAAGATATTGGAAAGTTATTAAATGATGCAATAAATAAGAAATTCAAAATACGATGTCTGGTAAGGATAGTGTAGAATATTTGCATTTTAACTTGTACTCTAAAAAAATATTTTCGAGTATGGACTATGGAATATTTTCTGAATTGGGTTTTATTCGATGAAGACCTCTTAGATGTTGAGAGTGGCCATAATGTTCAATGTAATTATCAAATTTCCAAAGATACCTTGGAATCATTCGATCTTAGGATAGGATTTACATATTTATCTCGGAGGAGGTGAAAGTCGATGAGGCAGCTTAATCCTATGGTTAACCAAGACGACTTGTCCGATTACCAGTCCATGTCGGGTATGGGATTAGATATCCAAGTATTTGTGTTAGATGGATTGTTTTGATGGATTCTTTGTTCTTGATACACACTACACAGTCTTATCTGATTCATCATTCATCATAATCCTTGCGCAAGAATTTCTTCCTTTCCATTAATTTTTTTAAATTCCTCATTAGAAATAATTTTGTTGTTTTAAGTTTTTAATATACGGTAATATAATTCCAGTCATTTAATTTATTTAATTCAATTTCATACAAGTTCATTGAATAACTTTTTTAAATATTTTTTTTTCAGAATTTTGATTTAAAAATAATGGCTACCGTTGTGAATGACACTGTTGGAACCATGGTTTCATGTGGTTACGATGATAATGATACTTGCATGGGTATGATCGTGGGTGAGTAAGTTTATTTTAAGGGAATTTGTTCGAAGCAATGTCACAAACACTCTCTTAGTAAAGTAGACTCGCCATTTTTAGGTAAAGTAATAATGTCTAGCCAATTCCTAGAGATACTAAAACTATTTATATATTTTTGTACAATATGACTAGTGGGTAAACGATGTACCTAACTCCCGTATGTTGTTCTAAATCATGGGTTGGCAACCTTTAGTATTGAAAAACACATTTGGCATCCTTTCCGTCAAACTCAAACCTACTCGAAGCCGCAATATTTATTCTAATGTCGGTGGCTATTAAAACTCTCGGAAAACTACCTATAATTCAGTAATTCAGTTCACGACAAAATGAAAAGAACTTGGAAAATGAAAAGAAAAAGTTTGTTTTGACAGATTTGAATCACCTTAATGCGACCTATTTTTACCGCGCTTGACTTATATGTGCTGTGATGTATAGTAGTGAGTAGTAATCCACTTCCTTATGCCTTGACTTTCATTGAATCCCCACTGCTTCTAACTGAAAACTGCCGTAAACACTTTGATTCACGGGAGCCAGAGATCCAGGAACAAAGAGCCGCATGCGGCTCCGCAGCTGCAGGTTGTCGATCGCTGTTCTAATGTGGTAAAACCCCGGTGAATCTCATGTGCGCCACCTCACCAAGATTGCCCCATTTTGGTCCTTTTTAAAGATTGTAGCTCTTTGCACAACATTGGATTTAGATACTCACACATGTAAAGCATTGAATAAAAAAGTTTTGACAGTTTTCCATTCTGTGAGATAAATATGATTTTGATCTTGTTTTATTGAACAAAATTATTGGTATTAGCTATTTCACTATTGTAACAGTTTTTTTAACAATAATTATTCAGGAACTGGTACAAACATGTGCTACATGGAAAAACAAGAAAATATTGAATTACTAGAGAAGAAGACACCGGCAAGTGAGATGTGCATTAATACAGAGTGGGGAGCGTTTGGTGATAACAGTGAAAGTCTCAAAGCAATCAGAACGGAATATGACATTGAAATTGATGAAAAATCACCAAATAAAGGACACCATAGGTAAGATATTTTATGTAGTGTTTTTTGCTCTGAGCAATACCCTGTAGGATAAGATTTACCTATTTATCCGGGGGAAAGAAAAGCCGATAAGATGGCTTAATCATGCCGGATGAGAACAGAACAGGCCTAAGTCACAATTTCGAGTTTTGAGAAAAACGCAAACGCAATGAATATTCACACGTAGTAAAGACCTGAGCTCTGGTTATTTTAATGCGGATGAGAATATCTCCATAACCAATATTTTTTGGCACTTCAGCTACAATTCCTTCCAGCTTTTTTACCCCCATAAAGGATTTTGGCCCATTTTGTTCTCAACAACTGAATTATTCGTAAGGGATGCAAGGTAAAACAAGGTGACTTAGGCCTAAGTTGCACTGAATAAATTTTTAGGGATGTAAGTTTCGGACATTTCATTTCTGATATTCATGCTTATCGTACTGGAACTTAGGAGTATCTCTCTTCAATATTTTGGGATTTTGAGCCATGCTCTACAAGGTGGTGGTCTTGAAATCCTGAATTTTTCAATAATAAAAATTTTAGCTGGACTAGACAGGCTCGTTCTGTTCTTAACTTCTACAAAATATTATAGTCCAAGTCCAGCTAAAATTTTTATTATTGAGAAATTTCTTAAGACCATCCACCTTGTAGAGCATGGCTCAAAACCCCAAAATATTGAAAAAGGTGAATTTTCCAAAAATGTGACTTGGGCCCCTTCTGTTCTCATCCGGGGAATGGCGAACCGTGGCCTTTCGTACAAGTACTGGTTCATGTTGGGTATCAGATTATATAGTTATTTGTTTCAGAGGTTACATTAACCACTCTAAAGTGGCGAGGAGTCCAGCAATCCTCTCACACATAATTATCCCCCATGCGATTCGAAACTGCAAAACTATGCAGGGTAATCAAAGGTATGGTGGCGAGCGTAATCCTAATGCTTATCACGATGCGCCACATGACCAAGCTAAGTACAAGATCCCATAGAAGCAGCCAATGATATCTAACATTATGTAAGTAAATACTATTTTTGAGAGAACCGGGACTTTCGATTCGGCATTGCCTAACAAATTTATTTCACCTGAGTGAAGTGGGGCCTGTGGGATGACAACATAGTTAAATGTAATGCTTTAACTGCCGGACCATCTTGCTGTGGTTCACCAACATATAATATATTTAGTAAAGAAAGACATTTTTAAATGAATATTATCTTGTTTTGTTTGTTTTTGTGTTACTAGAATATATTGCCACAATAAAACCAAAGTATTCATGCCATATTTCTCAAAATTTTTTTGATCTCCCAATGACTCCCATCATTATGGACCAGTACCAGGAGCCAACTTTTGATCAGGGTTTCAAAGCTGTTTTTCCCCAACTATAGGAATTTAGTAAAAAAATCTGTAGGGCCATTTTGTGTCAAAAAATTGCCAACATTTTGTGCAGAGTGCAGACATGAATATGATACATATGAAATTTTTTTTTTTTCCTGTAGTAAACTATTATTCTTGACTTCATTTTTCAGATTTGAGAAGATGATCAGTGGAATGTACATGGGTGAATTAGTTCGTTTGATCATTCTCAAACTTACTTCAAATCGTGAAATTTTTGATGGAATTGCTCCCGATAGCATTTTATTCAATTCTGGATTGTCAACAGCATTTGTTTCACACATTCTCAAGTACGTAATGTTGTTTTGAATTTTCAAAACCAGAAATTGCTTAATATGAATTTGATGTTTTTTTAATCATGTTGATTTGAACATTCATAATTTGTTACGTGAGGTAGGCTACATATTATTATTACATTATGTAGTTTTATATATATAGTGGGTTCGATCGTTAGCGTATTGTGTTGAGTATGCATTAATAATTTCCCTGCTGGCCATAGGTTTGAATCATTTGGGCCCTGATTATGCATGAGTGAATTACTTGACTTCTAGAATAAATCATCTAATCCGCTGATCGGTTGCACCCCTTTCAAGTTTGTGCATTTGAAACGATTAGCTGGTTAACTGGATACTTGATAAAGCAGTACTAGTAGTAACTGAAAGGTTGTGGTAGTCTCATCATTAAGCCATATTATCGCTGCTCGATAACCATTACTGGTTTATCGCGGCTCCTCTTACGCTTTTTGTACACTGTTTGTCTAATTTTGTATTTTCCACATGTGAAAAAATATTTACTGACTGGCTGACTAACAGATTTCCTCTCCTACGAAATAAAAAAATTATTTTGAAATCTTTTGGCGAAAAGTTTTAGGATGCACATCACCCATAATAAACCAAATTGGGCAGGTCTAGCCATACCGAGGAAGTTTTAGTGTCACCTCATCCCATAAAGCTAGCAGCTCCCTTTGTACCATTCTTGAGTAGAGCATTGTTAATAGCCGATTGGTAAAGAAATTTATACTAAACTACGGTAAGACATCAATCCATTTATCAAATTTATTCTGTTTTCAGTCCTAATAACGACAACAATCAAATTCGTCAATATCTTGCTGGATTTGGATTGATTGCCACTGATGAAGACTGCAATAAACTTGTACAGGTAATCTGTAGTTAATTTTTCCAACATACTGAAAAATTACGCTTTGTACATTATGTATATTTAGAAATTACTGAAGGATTGAAGTTTCACAATATTACCAAGAAAGTTTTAATTGCATTCATTTCAACTATACAAAATATATAAATTGAACTCAATTAAATCTTTGTTTTTTTACCTTCCCTGCATTCCCAAATTACCCCTTATTGAATATACATCTATGTGTTTTCTGACCCTGACCCAATTTAGGATATTTTCCATCCGATATTCCATTTTTAAAAATATTATTTTAGAATGTATGTAGCCTATGTTATTCACTTATTTCTTATGATCACCCTTGATTATACCATTGAAATTTTAAAACCAAAAACTATAATAGAAATGGCAAACTTTTTGAAATTTGATATGTCCCTCTTATTTTAATCTTTTTATCGTACATTTATTTATTTATTTTTGCTCTAGCTCTGTGAAGCGATATCCAAACGAGCTGCCTATCTATGTGCAGCAGGTGTTGTAGCAGTTGCTCAAAAAATTGCAGAGAATAAAGGACCAGATGCTAAAATGACAATTGGTGTCGATGGATCTGTGTACAGGAAACATCCAACGTAAGTAACTTGAATTGAAGTTATTTTTCAATGATGCACAAACTGAATCATATTTCTGAAATATTGGGAGCACAGATTCCGAAAATATCTATGCTTGATTAAAACTAGTTTTTGAAAGTTTAAAAATACATGCATAAAATTCATTTTTCGGGGATTTTTCTATGTGGCATTGTGAAACATTCACTCCAAACTAGGATTTTCCCAGCATTCAGCAACTCAGCATTGCTTACTCAGTTTACTGCACTCTGGGTGGTGGGCGGCGTCAAGCTGTAAGATTCGGTTTTTACATATCACTGAATGCTTGCAAGAGCCTTCTTCATAGTGGAATGCGTGAAGCAGCATTGCATAAAAATATAAAAATCATTCAATTGTAACCATTCGGAAATGGAATACAGTTACCAAACCAGCAGCTGTCCCCATAATTGAAATATTTACACAGTGTTTAACTCTCATTTGGGGTTACGCAAGCTCCTTTTCCTTACTTCATGCCTTTGTACTTTATGATTTGTGCATATAATGGCCTTAATGGGAGGATGCTGTAGCAGAAATAAATATGATTATTCTATTTGATTCAAGCTTGTTGCACACTGACACAGATTGTGACAGTTATTAAGGAATTTTTGATTTACAGGTTTGCTAAACTACTTCATGCAAAAGTAAAGGATCTTGGAGGCGACTTAAAGATAAAATTCCGTGAATCGACGGATGGTAGTGGACGTGGCGCCGCACTAGTGGCAGCAGTTGAATGCAGACTTCATAAAATTAGAACAAAAGTACCTGAGCAAACCGAAGAGTAGTCACTAATCAATTGAAATTGGTAAAATGAATTGTCAACCAAGTTTAGCTAAATCAAAAATTTTCAAATTTAATCAAATCAATTCCAAATTCTTTTGGTAATAGAGAGCATGCTGTGTTTCCATCATGCTGTCATTGGGGAATTTTATGGAATATTTTTGGTTACAGAAAAGCATTGTTAACATAATTAAGAAATCGAATATTTTATTGATTATTAGGGGCTCCCGAAGTATGCGAACCGAGATGGCGGACATCGGAATGTAATATGTGTACTAGGTTAGGGTTAGGCCATAATTTTGGGTATAAATACTACGGGAGGCTCTTGCCTAGTCTTCGACCTGATAATAGGACTAAAATAAGGAAAATTGGAAAGAAATTATCGCCTAACCCTAACCTGTTGCCCATGTTACGTTCCGATGTCCGCCATCTTGGTTCGCATACTTCGGGAGCACCGATTATGATTTATGTCCAGAATGCAATTTCATGTGATATGACATATTATTTTATATTCCTGTGTAGACTAACAAGTTAGTGTAGTTAGCATACTTATCCATAAAAAAACCTCATAAATATTGTTATAATCTTTTAATTTCTTTTATTGTGAAATAATTAAGTAGCCTTGTCAAAATTTTTATGTATTTTGCACTATTTCATACATGTTCCATACGTATTTGTACTCAATTATTTTTATTTTTTTTAGTTGAAACCATGCAGTAAATTTAAATGTTAGATTCAAGCAAGTTATGTATTTCATACGTATCTGCATAAGTTTCTCAAATGTGTGTTTTGTGGAGTATTTTAACTCTTTTTAAATCAGAGGATGATTCTTAATTGATAGATCCAGTTAACTTACATTTTTTATACCTATTTGTACAATTAGCTTTGTTTTACAACAAATGTTTGGCGCTCCTGAAATGTGTGTACCAACATGGAGGTAACTAATTTTGTTTGACTACTTCACATCAAGTTGTGTAAAGGGACTGAAAGCAATGGGCAGGGGGTATATTCACTTTGCCAACTTAGACAGTCCCTGAACTCGTAATAGAACTAAAATAGGAATGAAATTATGGCCTAACCCTAACCTGTTACACGGGAGCACCAGTTTTTCAAATTTTAAATCTTTCCAATGCAATCAGACTATAAATGTTGACTGTTAGATTCAGTTAACTTACATGTTCCATACCTATTTGTACAATTAGTTTAGTTTTATACAAAAAAATTTTATTCATTCTGTATGAAATTCTAAGAAATTCAAAATCTTAGTACAAGGTAAATTACCATCCATATTTTAGTTTCTAAAATATGTTTTTATACAAATTGCCATATTTCTCCATGCATAATATATAATAAGCAGGTGCATTTTAGCAAATCAGTAGCAAGAATTTTTTCAATCTCCATCCATAATACGCATTCCGAGTTTCTGTTCCTCTTTTGCGCTGTGGTGTTTTTCGCGAGAGCGTATCAGACATTCTATCCGCGTTTTACTCATATTTTTTGATATTTTATTTGCTACACATGGAGAAATATGGTATTCTATTCTTTCTGAATGCAGTAAATATTAACTATTAGATAAGGATTACCTCAAATTAATTCGTATTTCAAAAAGTTTTTACAATTATATACTTTCCATACTAGTTTCAAATGCTTTTTAAAAACATGTACTTCATTTGGTTTTTAAGATGTGTTTTTATACAAATTATTCTTACTAAATGCAGTGGATCCTTTTAGATTGAGGATTACTTCAAATTAGTCGTTATTTTAAAAGTTTATACAATTATATACTTTCCATGCTAGTTTCAATGTTTTTAAAAACGTGCAAACTTGCATTTCTTCAATGAAATGGAGTATTTGTGTCGTTTTGTATTTTGTGCCAATCAATTTTTTGCTTGTTCAATATTGCTTCCTTATCTTTTTGCAATGAATCCGTTTTTTATATAATTCTGCTATTCAACTAGCATGGATTTGAGGTGTCTCTATCAGGTATAAAATCAGTCATGGACTAAATCAGTGGTGTGCAACCTTTAATACAGGAGGGCCGGATACAAATAACTGAGTGAAACTGTGGGCTGTACCTTCATTTAACAAAGGCTCCATACTAGTTGCAGAAACAAAAATTTTGATTATTGATCTTATGACATGTGTTGTTCGCTTCGTTCAAGCAAGCTGTTAGGGCATTGTAAAGTCATGAGCATTGATGAAAAAAATTGTCTCAGTCATAGGCTTGGAATTAGTCGCGCATACCAGATTAAACTAAATTGAAAGCTCGTTTCGCGGGCCGCACAATTTTTCTTTGCGGGCCGCAGGTTGCACACCCCTGAATAAATGATAAAATATACTAAAGCTTGTTTCTATATTTTTATTCACTCTTAATTCCAAAAGTCTTCATCTTATTGTTATCAACAATAATGGTTGTATATTTTTTGGTTTGGACTAAGTAGCCTTTAATATATTGCTATTTGATAGAGAATGAACTTTTAAATTTTCTTCACATATTTCTCAGGACTTAGCATAATCGCTTTGAATTCCATCTAATTGTTATCAACAAATTTTGTTGTATTTTTCATCTACCTATATGGTTACTTTCTACTAAGCCTTTGATATATTGCTATTTGATTGATTGGGAATCATCATCCAGATTTCGTTTACATGGTTTTATATCCCGTGATTCACTCCCCTCTCTCTGCCAAGGTAACATAACTAACATAATTAATTTCACTTTTTTAATATATGTGCCATCTGATACAAATAACTCCTAACTATTTTATACCGAGCCACACTTTTACTCTCTTCTGTTATATGAATCAAAGTCCATGCATCTTATGCAAATACTTTGTTAACTATTTCGGGACCACAGGAGAATATTTCACCATACGATTAGGACGTCTCATATCCTTTCTTCTCCCAGAAATAATAAATATATTCTATTCTTGATATGTCCTATGAATTAAATTAGCTTTGGTGTGTGAGTTCTATTTTCTCAACGCTGTCATAACATCAAGTTGATTGTGGTGGTGGTTCGCCATATGGATAAGCCGTCTTATCGGCTTTCCTCTCCCCCGGGATAAATATGTAAATCCTATCCTATCCTATTAGTCAACTTCCTGATATTTTAATTTCTTTTTTGACGTACGGTAATACTGAAGTAGATTTTGTACTATATATGTGATTCATTACTTTGTTAGTCAAATGGAAATGTTCGACAAGCTAACTTTATGACGCAGGTTCGATGGGAATTTATTGCGCCTTTGGCATCACAAAATGATTCGCATGACTGCAGATCAGCTGAGAAAATAACTAATTACGGCCGCATTATGAAAAATAAGCCATGTTACACATTGCCAAAACCAAGTCGACACACGAATTTTTAGAAAGAAGCTCAGTCGCTACATAGCTTCATTTAGGGGGGAATAAAAGGAATTTCCTTATTCAAACTAGAATTTTTATAAATAACAATAAGGACATATGTGTCTGAATATTCGCTACATTTTATAAATTTTAATTTGTCAATATTAACAATCTTCGGAGTAGGCCTATCAGAAAAATATATATAATATGTAGGCGTATTCATAGCAAGTTATTGGATTTCGGTAATTTTTGCAAAGTAAAATTATTAGTTGTGAATCGAGTTCAAATCGCATTTTTTAAAATAGAACAAAACAAGTTCATAACAATTCATTTTCCAAGTATTATAGTTGTTGTTTGTCATTCGAGTCGCAGGCCCGTAGCCCGAGGACAAGACGTATTGTTTAAAGATATCTTAAAATTGGAATAAGCTTTTAATCATAAAACACGTAACAATTAGAAGTAGTACAACTGTAGGTTGTAATGACGATAACTCGTCATGCAAGGAGAATACCAAAACCAGCTTAAAAGCGACCATTCGTTAAGAGAGAATAACGATGGACGATTAATTAACGAACTCTGAGTGCAAAGGAACTTGGTATTTTGTTTGGCTTCTCAGCAATGATTTGGAACTGTCATTTGTATGTGTAAATATACACAATTGCAATACATGTATTCGGAACCATGAGTATATATTTCGAATATGTGTTCATCAAAACAGAATCGGCTACAACAACAGCAAATACTAAAATTATCCTCTAAATATAACTTAACACGTCACGGATTGTATTCAAAAGAAGAGGAGAAAGGGATAGGACAGAAAGGAACAGTATATACCTCAACCATAATACCTGTAAAATTGTGACGAACAAGTTGGCAATAATACATCAATTGTGTGCTGTTGAAGTCGCGTTCGTTGTTGGAAGTGAGGATTAGGAAACTGCAAAAGGAAGATGTGATAGAGATCAAGCTTGTAACTGGACCGCTCCCATCTTCCAATTTGCAATACAACGCAGAAACTTTATTAAGTGGCTAAATATACATGATTTGCAGACACAAACTTTTAATTCATTGGTCTTTGCAAATTCATGATTAATCTTAACTGTGCAACAACTAGCATGCATTTGTAAACAAAAAAAATTGGATGTCACCAAAATGGAATGCTCTTTCTGTTGTATTTATTAGCAGATAGTGTAATTTTATTTCATTTCTTGAAATTTGACGAATCTACTGGTACTACCCATTTATTAGCAACAAATGAACGCTTTCAAATCATTTTTCTCTGGGTCTAGTCTAGATAATAAATAGCCGATCACGACCTGGTGCTAAAAGTGCAAGCACCTTACGACTCCTATCGCATACACATTTGTAAACAAACAGAAGATCAGTGCAATCGTGGGTCACTTGGCAATCGTTGGCTCACTTGGCAATCGTTGGCTCGCCCTTCTGCTGCTTGCAATCTTTCCAGCGTCCGGTCTACAGGTCTATCAGCTTCGGTAAGAATTTCTGCGATTTTCATCGATAAGAATTGGAAGAAACTTTTTTGAAAAATACGTTTTGGCAACTGACAAGGTATGGTAAGTTAATACAGTAAAAGGTACCGGTAACCTACTGTTTCCAGGTTTCGGTATCGTTTAGTACCACATGCACTTCTAGTTGGCCTGGCTCAACAATTTTTGCATATGTCAATCCTAACCCCCCACCTGACTACGTCACCAAAAAATCAAGTCATTCCGATGTCACAGTGGCGTAATAATGCCCACCAAAGTATGCGAATAGTCGTCCAAAACTTGCAGACGATCACCCGAAATCGAGCAAGCTATTTCTCTCGTTTTATCGTTGTGACCAAAGTGTAATAGTCACTTTGGTCACAACGATCTCGATAGGAGAGAGATCGCCAGCTTTGGCAAGTTTGTTATCGGCAGCGCAGATGCCATTTCGGACGATCGTAATTATACTTTGGCAATCCCTATGATGTGATGGTGACGTCGTAGTGACGTAATTTTTGGATGGCATAGTCAGGTGGTTAGGAATAACATATGCAAAATTCGTTATAAATTATAACCACCTCTTTACGAGACACTCTGCGCCTCCAACCGGCAAAAATAGGCAATCCAGCGCTGTGTAACAAACTAAGAAAGCACAAAATAAAAATGTCACCGATAGATTCCTTGAAAAAATAATCTGATTCACTGAAGGAAATAAATTTACCATAGTATTCGTTAGTTTTTAGCAAAAAACTACAATTGAGATGCCCTTGTTCCAGTGACAAATTGAGTGTTTGTTTTATTAAACCAAATGTTATGACATCTTGGAATCGCAGAACTGTGCCCCTCTGGAATGTCCTATCACATCATTAACCCCTACTTAATTCTTAGATGGAATCAATATTGAAATCACTTTATCTTTCTGATCTAACTCTCCTTGAGTTAGCTGGTGCAATGAGGCGTGAAATGGATAGAGGATTGGCAGCAAAAACAAATGAAGGAGCAGAGATGAGAATGCTGCCAACTTATGTGACTGGAACTCCTGATGGAACGGGTAATTTTATATAAAATTTTCATTGTGGTTACAGTATGACTTGATAAAAAATGACTTTTCACATCTGTATTTCGTCAGAGCCCTAATTTATGACTTTTAATGTGGATAATTAGGGCTGGACATTCCAAAGCGAATACCGGTAGAAATTATCGAATTGGTCCAGACAAAAATTTGGAATTGCCACCATCTTTTTTTCTCTGTCCACCAAGTGTGAATGTGAATTCTACAATTGTCTTTTGAAGCCATATTTTTACAATGCAATTCTGACATATGACCTGTATTTCCTAGTTAGTTAATGCTGGAACATGTTTCTCATTATCAGCAAACTATATATATGAGTGATGGATTTTATGTTTTCAGTAATTTATGTGTCTGAAGGACCCATTACTAAAAAAGCACATTTAATTACAAGTATTAGTTTCAAGAAAATATATTAGATTTTGAAATCATCAGGTATTGAAAATGCCCAGCCCTAGTGATAATTGAAGTGTTAAAATTCAGACAGAAACCCAAAAAGCAAAGGTAACTGACCTAAACTGATGAATATCTACATCCAAACATTCAATGAAAGAAAGGGTGCATAAGCAAAAGCTTCTGTTGTCGGTCAAAATTTTTTTGTCAAACTTCAGCCATTTTTAAATAACTGGGAGCCGGGCATAAATTTTTTAAAGGTTCAGGAAATTAGGTATGCTACTCCGAGTTGGAAATTTTCAGATCCGTGTAAAAAATATAAATTCCCCGCATAGCTTATTAGAGGACGCTTGCAAAGAGCCTTGTTGAGTGTGAAGTTATGGAAACTTATCATAAAAATAAGTTGAATCTTTGATGACTGTAAATTTCACAATATTTTGTGTTCAATGCCCTAGGAAAAAAAAATTTTTTTCACATTTTTCATGTCTTCCATAGAGGACGGTGAATTCTTGGCATTTGATCTCGGAGGAACAAATTTTCGAATATTACTTGTTAAACTCGTCGCTGGTGAACACAAAAATATAACCATGAATAGTCAGATATATCATATTTCACAGGAATTAATGACTGGAACCGGTGCCCAGGTAGATCTAAGTTTTTGTTTGATATGAATAAGTCTGTGAGCACAATTCGATTATTATATTGCATATTAACCTATGATTACTCTTAAAGTGAGGAGAAACGATTTCAACAATTTCTTTTTTGTCTATTTTATCTATTTTTATTGGATTCAGAAACTCCAGATATTTCAGTTTAGCGTTGTATTTTTTATATTGTGTGTATTGTATATATTAACCCCTTAGTGTGGCAGTTGGGTCTTACTTATCATAATAACTATATAGTTGATTTTATTTATATAAATGGACATTAGTAATGAGACATTTCATGGGACCTTTTTTTCAAACTTTCAATAGCCTATCCTATCTCAGTTACTTTCCTTAAGATAAAATTAAATTTTGTATTGTTCTAGCTTTTTGACCATCTTGTGGAATGTTTGTGGGATTTCCTCTCGGAACGCGAAATAAAATCTCAGCTTCTGCCTATTGGATTCACTTTTTCTTTTCCTTCTAATCATTTAGGAATTGATAAGGTAAGTTAGTCTATGCTTGTAAGTTTGGGTGTGCTTATAAGAAAAAGAAAAACATTTAAAGGATGCTAATGATTTCTGTAACTATACGATGTTTTAGAGAGTTTGAATTACCGGTAACAGTTGTGATAGGATTCACATATTTATTCCGGGGAAGAGGAACGTCAATAAGGCGGTTTAATGATATGGCAAACTGCTGTACTGCTTCAAATCTTGCATCAAGAAGTTTTTAATTGCGTAATCTTTTTTTATCTCCATCTCCCATTTTACTTATCTCCATAATTGTTTATAAGCTCTCGCCACAGTTGTCTCTCGTAACTTTGTTTAGAGGATTCACATCTTTATCCCGGGGGTTAGAATAGTCAATAAAACAACTAAAATTACAGGGCGAAGAACTGCTGTACTGCTTCAAATCTTCCATCAATCAGTTTTTACTCGTAATTACCTCCATTATTCTCATAGCCTAGGCTCTCGGAACAGTGGTCTCTTGAAACTTCGTTTAAAGACCAGTCTCTTTTTCTTATACCGTGGCTCCTTCACACAAAGTAATCATATACGAAATTGAAGACCAACTTTGGTAATCAATATCATCATCAGTGCTACAGCGAGTATGTTCATAACAATGCCAGAAGCCAATTACGAAATCCGATAAATCGTTCTTTATATACGCTATATTTATTCAAGAGTAAGTTTAATTTTAATTCAATTCCCTCTTTTTCTTATTTGTTTCTATATTTCAGAACATTTTACTTTGTTGGACGAAAGGTTACACAGCAAGTGGTATGGTTGGTGAAGATATTGGAAAATTATTGAACGAAGCAATAGATAGGAAATCAAAAACACGACCCCTGGTAAGAATAGTGGATTATGTATACTAAGTTCATTTTGGAAGGGGAAAAGTCGATGAGACGATTTGGTCATATGGCAAACTTCGACCTATCATCTGGTTACCAGTTCCTACAGGCCAGTGGCTCCCAAAGATGATTGATCGGGGTCCAAAATGAGAATCTGAAATATATTTGCGTGTCGGGAGAGAGGAGCGAATTGAATTGTTACACATGCTCAACTGTGATAATGACATAACAATTGACGATATCTAGATTGCAAAAAAGTAAAAACACGAAGTGTTGAACTATTTCACCCTCTTTCGGCGGTCCATATCAAATCATTACGCTGATCGTAATTGGCCCACAAGCCGCGGTTTGGGAACCACTGATATAGGCTGTAGAAATAGTTAACCAGTCATTTGTTTCAAAAGCATGGACTGTCATAGCCAACCAGCGGTTACTAAATTGTTTTAATGTGGAACACATTGATGTCAGTGTATATCTAATTACCGGTAGTTTGAATTTATAACTCCTGAGAAGTTGCTTGATCGATTCTTCAATCTTTTCATTTCATACATGAAACGCTTTCTAATCATGCTGTGAAACTTCAATTGCTCAAAAACTATTATTTCAAGTGAAATTTTGTAAATTATTCACGAAATGGAAAATATAAAATATTGCATACCGTATTTACCGGCTATTTCCCATTTTTTTGGACTGATTTTTGGTGGCTTATTGAGCGGATTTGATTATTTTATTATTTCTAGTGTCTGTTTATTTTTTCTCACAATTCTTTTTAAGCATGATTCATGTTAACTTTATATCTGGGTTATACATTTCATAATGAATTTTAATTGACTTATACTGCCTGCTGTTATTTATCTTAATCTCATTGAAATCCTAATTGCAATCATAACATGGCTCCCACAATAGAGTGACTCTTGAGGTTTTGCCGGATTCAACGAAAACCAACAGATTGGACAGCACAGCTGTTAACCTATGGGCTCTACAGTGCAGTACTTACAACATCATATTCACAAGTTATTTCAACATTCCAGTTAATGGGTTGCTCAAAATGATTGCTCCTACCTTGTTTTCAATATATTGCCCCTTTATTGTTAAGAATAGTTAATTCTGAAAGTATAATTCTATCCAAACAAACATGGGTATGAGTGCATATTGGTGCTCAACTGACTAACAAAGAAACAATTTTTCTGTACTTATTGGGCAGTTACGATATATGGAAAATGCCCCTTTTACATGCTGGATGGACTCATTAGACGAAGAATAGGGTACCGATAATTTAAATTGATTCAAATGTTGGATCTATTTTGGACATCTATTGATAGGATTTGGCAGACTATTGAATATGAATGAACCAATTTGAATGATTTGCCACTTGAGCTATAACTTATGCCATTGTTTTTATTCCTTACTTTTTAGAATTTTGACTTGAAAATAATGGCAATTATGAATGATACAGTTGGAACTGTGGTCTCATGTGGTTATGATGACAATGATACTTGCATGGGCATGATAGTTGGTAAGTATATTATCTTATTTTGATGAAAGTTGCGCGAAATGAAGTCACACACACACTCACTCAGTCAATACATAGGGCAAGGTGGTCCAAACCCAGGCCTGCAGTCTCAGTATCTGTGTCCCGCTTCGCACTTGCCGGAGAATAATCAAAAAACCGCATTTGGTGTTGTCTAGTCATAAATATAAACAGTGAAATTGCAAAGGGAATGCATCGATACCATATATTGTTTTGGCCCTCACAGATGTATTAAATGGAGTAAAAATACTTGAACAATTACCGATTAAAAAACAACAAACCTGGTTAAGATATATTGAGAACAACTGACTTCATAACAAAATTGAAAATTGTGGGGGACTTTATGGACACTCTGTATAATATATTATAGTGCATAATCCTATTGGTTAAATCATGGGCGTCCAACCTTGATAAATACATGAGGGCCAGATACAAATAGCTAGATGAAAGCTCGGGTCACACCTTTATTTAACATAGGTCTCTAGTAGTAAGAACTAAGAAGCACAAAAATTTTGGTCATTGATCTTATGACATGCATTATTCACTTCGTACAAGCTAGCAATATTGTAACGTCATGGGCATAGGTAAAAAATCGAACTATGGTACAGGCTTTGCAACGTAAAGAGATTGGAGTCACCCGCACGTACCAGATTAAAATAAATAAAAAACTCATTTCGCGGGCTGTACGACATTCAAAATTGGCACTTCTCCGCGGGCTGCATAATTATATTGAATAATATTGATAGGAAAAAGTTATTCAAAACTCGTGTCAAACTTGAAGACAAACATTTTGCTATTCTAATATTTCACTCATTTTTTTGAAATAATTATTCAGGAACTGGTACAAACATGGCATACATGGAAAAACAAGAAAATATTGAATTACTAAAGAAGAAGACGCCGGCAAGTGAGATGTGCATCAATGCAGAGTGGGGAGCATTTGGTGATAAAAGTGAAAGTCTCAAAGCAATCAGAACGGAATATGATATTTACATTGATGAAAACTCACCAAATAAAGGACAATATATGTATGAGGTTTTTATATGGTGATTAAAAAACAACAGACCTGGTTAAGATATATTGAGAACTGACTTCATAACAAAATTGAAATTGTAATAGGTCGTTATGGACACCCTGTATGTGTAAACAATAAATAAAGTGAACCACTATTTTCCATTCTCATGATTTCGTTTTTCCAGATTTGATAAAATGATCAGTGGAATGTACATGGGTGAACTACTTCGTTTGATAATTGTCAAACTCATTTCAAATGGTGAAATATTTGAAGAAATTGCTCCGGACAGCAAGATATTCAGTCCTGGATTGTCTGCAGCATTTGTTTCACATATAGTCAAGTATGTAATATTAGTAAGCTTAATTTTAAACAAGAAGTTTCATAAAGTGAAATTTGACGTTTCTGCCATTGTTAATGCTGAAGTCATGTAATCATAATATACTGTTAGATCAGGATTCTGCTTGAAATTTTTTTTTTGGGGGTTGACCCCAGCAACTTTCTTTGTACCATGCTTCATATTAGAGCCCCAGAGTGAAGGTGTCAAAAATTTTATAGGACATACGATAATGCTTTTGCGACAATTTTTTCTATTTTCCAGTTTTAATAACGACAACGATCAAATTCGTCAATATGTGGCAAGATTTGGATTGATTGCCAGTGATGAAGACTGCAATAAACTTGTTCAGGTAATGACTAAACAGTAGTTTATTTTTTTTCCATGATGAAAAGGTACACCGGAACGTAGTATGTGTACCAGGTTAGGGTAGGCCATAATTTCAGGTACAAATACTACGGGAGTCACTTGGCTAGTCCCCGAACTCGTAATAGAACTAAAATAAGGAAAATGGAATAAAATTATGGCCTAACCCTACCCTGGTACACATACTACATTCCAGTGTCCCCCATCTTGGTTCACATACTATGTGAATACCAATGAAAATACACTTTCTACAAACAGAATATATAACAAAGTAAAATTCTATAGTGGCTATGGTTGTTATAATTAAGTAAAAGAAAAAAATGTATCACAGGTTCTCACAGTGCTTTGTACAGAGCGTCAGGGCTCCATAAGAGAAGCCGAGACTTAAATACTGACTTGGCTAGTAACTGCCCCAAGAAGCAATAACGTTATCCCTGGCGCAACATTGCAATTTTAGAATTCGAACGAATAGGCAAACTTTTTTAAATTCAATATTGCTAACAGTTATAATACTCATTATATTGCATTATTACCATATAATATTTTTGTTCCAGCTCTGCGAAGCGATATCCAAACGAGCTGCCTATCTATGTGCAGCAGGTGTCGTAACTGTTGCTCAGAAAATTGCGGAAAACAGAGGACCAGATGCTAAAATGACAATTGGCGTTGATGGATCTGTGTATAGGAAACATCCAACGTAAGTATTTTGAAGTTTAAATGACGCTTACTCGACGCTTTTTTGCTCTGTACAAGTCCATATATATTCCTCGGAAGCATACTTCATAGAATTGAATTCACTCTGAAAAGATATTATATTTAAATGTATTAACTATTCGATGGGTTTGAATCCACGCATTCTTCACAGTCGACTGGTCGTGGTCAGTCAACCATAAATCATGACGGCACACACATTTGCTCATACTCGGCCATTAAGAAATGTAATAATATAAACATAATGAACAACCAACTGCATCAGTAATCTGAAGTTAATTTTTTGAGGCTATCTCACTAAAAGCCATCAAGTACTTCTAGTTGGTGTGGGAAAACCATTTTTGCATATGTCATTCCTAACCCCCACCTGACTACGTCATCCAAAAATGACGTCACTACCACTGTACCACGTCACAGTGACGAAATAATGCTCGTCAAAGTATACGGATTGTCGTCCAAAACATGCAGAGGATCATCCGAAATCAAGCAAGATATTTTCTCGTTGTGACGATCCTGATATGAGAGAGATCGCTGGCTTCAGGGAGTTTGTTATCGTTGGCGGAGATGCCATTCCGGGAGTTCATAGCTTTTCTTTAGCAAACTCCATGATGTGATTGTGACATCGTAGTGACGTAATTTTTGAATGACGGTGGGGGTTAGAAATAACACATGCAAAAATGTTTCTGCCACGCCAACTAGAAGTACTTACGGCGTTCAGTAAACATGCAGCAATTTTTCATCATACTGAAAATGCACATTAAACATGCAGAATGAAGTTAAAAATTACATTTCAAGTTGAAACGAGACACAATTAAACTTTCATCTTAGGCAAAAAGTCTAAAGCGATGATCTGAAATTGAAATAGTAATTGAGAAGGTTATATTTTAATTTGCAGGTTTGCCAAACTTCTTCATTCAAAAGTCAGGGATCTTGGAGGCGACTTGAATGTAACGTTCCATGAAACGACGGATGGTAGCGGACGTGGCGCTGCACTAGTGGCAGCTGTTGAATGCAGACTACAAAATATACGTACGAAAGTGCCCAATCAAACTGAAGAATAAGAACAAAGAAATTGAAATGGAGATTGGTATAATAAATCGTCAAATGAAGATTTGCAAATTATAATCATATGTGATATAGTTCATTCCCAATTTCAAATATTGTTCTTTTGGTACTTATTTTGATCACAAAATTGATATTAGATATGCTATGAAAAATCCTAGCAACACTCTAACTACAATTCTAGACACGCCTTAGATACATTGGAAGAGCTTTGTTGTTTTTTCGCACCGGAATTAACCTAACCTATTTGATTGTTTTTTTTCAATTGGTGGGCAGTCTAATTACTGCTACATTCGTTAACTTTTGCCTATTTGGACTTGTAAGTGTGCAATTCTAGGAGACTAAGTCTTTTACCATTATGTTGCAATTTCGGTGTATGATGAATAGGTCCACATGTGGCCCGCTGCTTCATTATATGTGGCCCCCGTTGTATTTGCGAGAAAGTGAACAAAAAATCCCATTTGGTGTAGTTTCACCATAAAAATAACCAGAAGATGCCACATTGCTTGCTTGATATGCCTGCAAGTTGTGTTGGTGACAGTCTAGAATGGCATTTTTCCCCTCTGACACTTTCTTCATTATGAAGAGTTTGAAATCTTACACTAAACGTATATATAGTAAGATTTTTGCAGGTTTTAGTGAGTTTTTTTAGTGAATTTTGCATGTTTTAGCTCGATAAATGACAAATAATGATGAAGTGTTTGGACAATAAAAATGTTTTGTTTTATTTTGCACTGTTTACCTATTATTGGCACTATTGTGGCTCGTGAACAATACAAAAATAATAGTGTGGCCTGCGAGGCCGACAACCTTGGACCACCCTGGTGCAGACTAACAAGTTACCCTGGTGCAGACTAACAAGTTGATGTTTTTATGTAGTGAGGGTACTTACTCATAAATACATCATTAACGTTATGAAATTTCTTTTTATGTGGATTCATTAAGCAGCCTGACTAGCCTTTGATATATATTGCTATTTGATTGAGAATAAACTTTCGAATTTTCTTGACATGTTTCACAGGACTAAGGCAAAATCATATTTTTAATAGCTTTGAATTTCATCTTATGTTATCAACAATTTTTGTTGTATTTTTCATTTTTTCTCCTACTTGAGACCAACATTATATGGTTACCTACTACTAGCCATTGATATATTGCTTTTTAATTGAGAATAATCTTCCAGATTTCCTTTACATGTGGTTTTAATTCCTTCTCTATGCCAAGCTACTCTTGACTAACATGATCAATTTCACTTATCATTTCATAATATATTTGCCAAAGTCTCTCTGATACAAATAATTTTTATAGTTATTAGCAACAATTTTTGTTGTATTTTCTTACCTCGCACTAACTTTTAATGCATACCTACATTGCTAACTATACCTCGCACTAAATTTTAATGCATACTTACATTGCTAACTATACCTCGCACTAACTTTTAATGCATACCTACATTGCTAACTATTGCTTTTGATTGGAAAAAAACTTTTGAATTCCTTTACACGACTCATGGCCAGCCCAAATTCGGAAGGGGGGGAGCAAATATTGTTCAATGACTTTCGAAAACGAAGCTTACTCGAGCATTGCATTTCAAAAAATAATGTTAGAAATTTTTTTTTTATTGGGGGGGGGGTTAATGGCTACACCTATGTTATCATCTTTCCTTTCTTGGATGTGAATAAAACCCCATCTCTAATATATCAACTGGAGCAGTCAAGTCATATTATATTTGGTGTGTGAGTTGTGTTCTTTTAAAGGTTTCTATTTCGTTCATTGCAACTTCGATTCAATGATGCAACTTCCAGATATGTTAATACAATCAGCAACAGATTTTGGTTATGGTTCAGCATGACTTTGGAATATAATGTTACATATAAAATGGAAGAATTTACATATATATCCAGGAGTGAGAAAAGTGAGCATCTCGTCCGGTTACCAGCCCATGTCGCTGATATATGTGGTTAGCCAGTTACTTTTTTCATATGCTTGGACTTAATGGGACTTTTGGTTACCAATTCATGTTGGAAATGGGGTTAGTTCTTAGTTAGACAGTTACCGTATTTCCCGGCGAGTAAGTCGCTTTTCTAGACCGAAATTTTTGGCCTGATTTTGTGGGGTCGTCTTATTAGGCGAGTGTGATAGTTTTCATTTTTTGGTGTCGCCTTATTATACATTAGGTACTGTTTTTTTATGGTGGACGCAATCGCGAGTTGAACACAATTAGATTAAAATTTAAAGACAGTGTAGAAGTTATTATGGATTGAATATTACCCAAACGTCAATATAAGGTATTTTAACCAATGCGCAAACGCGGCCACCGCTCAAAAGGCATTGCATGGTAATTTGAGATTCCGATGTTGATGCAATTTTACTACCCCGACTTAATGACAGATTATATGCAAAACCCCATTTTTTCAGGCTTGAAAACGTCTTATTTACCGGGTGACTTATTCGCCGGGAAATATGGTAATTGTTTCAGATGCGATCTGATGGTGGCGGAAACCGTGACCGACCAGTGGGTACGTGAATCGCCCTACGGCGGCGAGGAGCAGACAAGTCCAGTTAGTATTTTACAATAAAGCTTCTTATTTTGATTAGTGCAACTTCCTTATAAATTAATCTTCACTAACAGCGGTAGCCTACATGTAAAATTTCTTATACTTGTTTGAGTATCGGACATATAAGGCCCACGCCATTGAGTGCACAATTGATATATATGTCGAGACAGTACTGACTGGAATGTTCACTATTATATTGTTGTTATTTTGAACTATGTTATAATACAAAAAATAACAACACTCACGACAGAAACTTCATAAAGTTTCCGAAACCTAAAAGAGGAACTAAAACCACATGGACAATCTCGCCTTGAGATTTGAAATAAACAACGAAATACTCTTTAATCGGTGCTCAGGAAGTGCGTGTGTACCAATATGGATTTAACTAATTTTGTTCACCTTCTTTACATCAAGTTGTGTTACATCAAGGGACTGCAACATATGGGCAGGGGCAGTGGCGTAGCATCCACCCCCGCGGTCGCGGGAGGGCCCACAGCGCAAATGGGCCCAAGCGGTTAGAATTTAGAAAGTTAAGCCGCAAACCAAAAGCTACAGTGCAAAACAAGTAATGCACATCTTATAACGTTGATGTTAGTTCTGCTCAATTCGTTTTGTTACGTAACAATGCCAAAGAGTCGTCAATTTTCGGTGTATTGTGGTTTGATCGCACCGGCAAAATTACGAAGCCTGTCAGAATGATGTCGAAAGCAAAACCTCTCAGTGGCGCACAGAAACGCAGAAGAGGAAGAACGTTTGAAAAAAATTAAGTAACCAAGATAAACGGCAAATTTTAGGTTACCATTGCCTTTTTATAGCGACATGTTGTGCTTTTTGACAAAAAAAAACGTTGTTTTAGCTTATGTCCGAGCGTTTTAGGGTCATTTCCACAAAATATTTTTGCGGGGGGGGGGGGGGGGGGGGGCACGAGAGTCTTGCTACGCCACTGGGCAGGGGGCATATTTATTTGGCTAACACAGACTGTCCCCAAACTCGTAATAGAACTAAATAAAATAAGGAAAATCGGAATAAAATTATGGCCTAAACCCAGTAGTGGGATTCAGCCGGTTCGCATCGGTTCTATAGAACCGTCTCACGGAATTTTATGAGATCAGCGAACCGGTTAGCATTACTGGTTTATTTACTGACTTTTTATGACTTTTTGTAACAGAAACGGCTGAAAAATATGACTTTTGTGATAGAACCGACTGACAAAAAGTTTGAATCCCACCACTGCCTAAACCCAACCTGGTACACATACTACGGGAGTACCCTTTAATCGGACTTTGAGCTTAATAGCATTGTAAGCTTGTTCGCGGGCAATTTCTCATAACCAGTGGACGACCATGTACAAAAGCCTCGGATAAAGCATTTCCTTTGTCTATGAAGCCATTTATCGCGACCATCATTTGTAAACATGAATTGTATTTGCTGAGAATGGTAATCGGAACCGTGTGCACTGAACATCGTATTGCTGGTGACATATACCGCGAATGGGCAAACCTCAAAGACGCGCTTCATTGGCGATATGGACTCGGTAAATAATAACCAAAAGTCAACAGTGGGAATATCGCATATCATTTAGCCTATCGGGCGTCTATAGCAACCGTACGAACCAGAATGTAGTTTCATGTAAGTCGATAGGTAATTGAGTCCAGTACGTGGGAAAATGAATAGATCTGTGAGTACAGTAGTGAGTTTTGATTTTCTTGTTCTATGGCCGGTACAGTTATGCCTCCAAAGATCAGCGATGGAGAAACAGGAAAGGGCTTTTCATAGGGGTGCATGGATTTATCAGTGCAACGAAATCGTATTCTACTAGTTTATATTCTTTATCAAGAATAAGCACAAGAACTGGCCAAAATCGACTGGAAATTGTATTTTAGCTAACAGTTTGTCATATAGTATAGTATACACAATATCGACCGGAAAAATCCCGTTGTTTGAAAATATAGTGCTACTTTTATTACTGTATCTACTTGTACTGATCACTGTCGAGGGTGAGATGCGTGTGAAACATCTTCCAAAAAAAGGAAGATCAGAATTATTACGAGGCTTTTATCAGGTCCATTCGCCAAAGGCCTTGATAAAGAATCCACTTACTGGGCCGTCTCTGCTCTAGTATAAATGAATGATAAATTACGTTATGTATCAAGCTGTCTATTATCTGGCGAATATTTTTTAGCGTGAATAAACTATAGATTTTTGGATGTCAGTTAATTACTTGCCAATAATTATTGAACCGAACTTGAGCATAAAAATTTTTTCTATATACTCTACAATTGTAAAATTTTCGATGTTTATTTTGATAGTTTTAACCGGTATCCTTCTTCAAGAGCTTTTTCAAACTATTTAAGCAACTGATATAAAACTACTGGTAGCTAAATTTATCGCAAGTGGAACTGTTTTTTCATGTGATCATAACTAAACTAAAACTCTTCCGAAGATCACATGACCACTGATTTACGACAAAAACTGGTAAAAGGCTGCCAGTTCTTGCTTCTTCTTGCTCCATTCTTCATAAACTTTCAACACAAAAGGGAAATTGCTTTTCTTTTTACCAATTCATATTGATTTTCTCAGTCGCCAATATCGATAGAGTCGTGGCATTATTGATAGCGGCCTCAAGTTGCCTCGATTTTAATCGGATTTTAACAAATTAATGGAAATTTATTAACAGATTTGGCGAACTCGACTCACTCTAGTAATATCGGATTCGTCGCCGAATAGTCTGAATTATATTAGTAGAGAAAGTTGCGGTAATATACCCAGTGTGTTTTAGGCCTATAGCTATGCGCAGCACTTCAGAGTTTTATCGCTTGAGTGCACTTTTATGGAGGCCACAATTTAATACTGATTATGGAATACATTTGTTTTAAGGGCAACCGTGCAAATTTACACTAAGTTACATAAATTTCGTATTTTTCGATCAAAGTCACGACAACATGGGGTGTGGAGGCAGCAAAAGTGGTGAGTACGTTCCATTTTTGTTAAAATTTGGTAAAAACTTAAAACGATTTGGCTGTGTAACCGACGGCTAAATGGGACTGTAGGCATGATTGTAGAATATTCAACATAAGTTCAAAAGTCGCTCGTCATGAAATTCTGCATGCCCAAGTATAAAAATTATAACCAAAATATGGATCATACCACAAATATGGAATTATAACCAACCTATCCTGTTTAAACTGATGTTCACATATATCAATCTTTCGCGCATTGCTCTGGTTAAAATGGCATGGGTCACAACAACCTTACTTATTGGCTATATAGCTGAGAGATTTCAACCTTTCTGAAAAATGTTTTAATTATGTATATATGACTATTTCCTTGTTTTTTGGCTTTTTCACTGCTTCAGCGTACACAAGCTTATATGTAATTATTAATTTTTGTCTTACAGTCAATATAAGACAACAGAACGAGCCTCCTTACAAGCGACGCAGTGTAAAACGAGATGAAGAAAACGGAGAACACTTGCCAGAAACTAAACAAAGTGACGTTCAAATAGAGGAAAAAAACAACAATCTTAATCAAAATCGAAACAGTAATAAAACGATTGAAAATGTATATGAAACCGCTCAAGAACTGAAGACACAGAAATTTACTATCAACGGTCAATTAGACTTGTCGTCCATTTTTAGGATTATAAAACAGGCAGTCTACGTAGCGGATCTCCAACAACTCACACTGCAAAAAGCCCAAAATTTAGAACTTGAAGACCGATTAAGGTATGCCAGATCTAACATAGAAAATCCGCCACCAATAAGCGAAGAAGAAGCGGCATCCGACAACCCACGAAGGTACCTACCGCCCCGAAATGACGGTCGTGAGAAGGCGTGGGTGTTATCGACCGAAGTTGACATAGTTTTTGATATTTTTATAAAGGGACAATATGTCAAAAATTTAGAAATACTGTCGAAATTACAAGAAGAATTCAAAGATATCGAAAATAGACTGCGAGAGATTTCAATTTTGAAGAGCGGTGAAGCGTGAATTACGCAAGTCATATAAGAGAAAAGTACTCATTACAAAGCTGCTGACACACGTCTAGTATGCAAATCGTGGTCACATCCCTCCAGTGTAGTATGATTTCTCATGTCCTGAATTGGCCATGTTGAGCAAATATTATTGAATATGTTAAATATAGAGGTTTAATTCCCCCGGCATGGCTCTCCAGTCTCCGCGGCAGTTCATATTCAGAAATTAAGTCCATGCCTCTGAAAAATAACTATACCCGTACCCGACATGGGGCGGTAACCGGACAAGAGACCGCGGTGCGCCATGTGATTAATTTATTTACCGGCTTTTCTATCCCCGGGATAAATATAAAATACCTATCCGGAATGCGCCACATTGACCCAAATTTTCTTTAGTTCACACAATGTTACCAGAATGACGGACGTCCATTCTGCAAGAAATAGTATAATGGGTACGACAAAGATATTCCATTTTAAATTTCGTTCTCTTGATAGACGTTTCCCCGACACTTGACCCCATAAAATTTCTCACTATAGTTCACTATGGCTTTTTAACTCTTATCATGAGAGTGTTTTGGAAAGTTGACAGACTGGTTTGCATGTTCAAAACCATTATATTTTATAAAATATTCAACCGCGTTTTCCCAAGACATATTGATAGGTAAGTTATTTGATTTTCAGCTAATTATCGCAAAACTATGAAAACGAACCAATGTTCACCGTATTGGAATATCTGTCTTGAGCGAGAGCGTGTCTGAGCAACTAAATAAATTGCAATTGTTACGTCAATGTCGACTTATTGCCAGCATCCATTTTCATTTTATTTCCTCGTATTGATAAATTGTTAATATATGATACGGATCCTACAAATCAGACTTGACAGAACATCTTAATAAAAACGGCTCCAAACGCACAATTTTGATTTTCACCTACATTATAATGTTTTTAATGTTGAATGATTGTAACCTCTCATTTGTGATGTAGGGCCTGCACTGTGAAACTAACTACCTTGCTATATTTTGCAATAAATATGCACGTCTTAGAATCTTTTTTAAAAATATGGTATAAAGTTTTCATTACAACAACGTTCAGTTGGAGGCGGGTTGGTGTAGGGATCCCGAGTCGCGACTAGGGCTTGGCATTTCGAATCGAATAGTAAATTATTCGAATCTGTTCAGAGAAAAATTTCGAATCGTCGCCATCTTGTTTTTTCTTCTTGACGCCAAGGGTCGAGGTGAATTCCTCAATTTTTTTTTATTGAAGCCATATTTTTTCAACGCAATTCTGACATATGACTACTTTCTGTAGTGAGTTATTGCGAAGAAGCGTGTTTCTCATTGTGTGTGAACGCTCAGTAATCTATCTGAGTGATGTATTCTATGTTTTCGGTAATTCGTTTGTTGACAAGACCAATTACAATAAAAAAGCCGATTGCAATTATACATTACCAAGTATTCAAGATTCGATTCGGAAAAAAAATATTCGATTTGATTCTGAAATCACCAGATATTCGAAAATGCCCGAGTCCTAGTCGCGAGTGATGCATTGTCCATCCTAGTCTCCAGTCAATTCCGAGTCCGAAGGCGAGTCGATAACTCAGCTAAGTATCACTGGTAGTCGGTCGATGACGACTTCGAAGAATAGATTATTTTTGGTATACTTCCGAAGTATGTGTACCAGATCAGGGTAAGGCCATAATTTCATACCGATTTTCTTTATTTTAGTTCTATTACGAGTTCGGGGACTGTCTGTGTTAGCCAAGTGAACATCCCCCGGTTTTCAGTTCCTTTACACAACTTGATTATGATTCTGGGGTTTAGAGGCCTTTGAGCTACGTTTCCGGGGCCAGAAAGTGTTTGGCCGAGCTCTGGGAATTTTTCCAATTACTTTTAGCGGTGGGGTCTGCGCCCCCACGCCCTCTGTGTTTTCCCCCTCCCAATCGCCCTCCAGTGGCGTAAGAAGGTTGCGCACCTAAAAATGAAGCTATTGAGAAGCAAGAGAGCTACGCCCAAATATATGGACACGTCTGTTCGCAGTACAGTACGGTTTACCGATCAGCGTAAGAAAAAAGTCGTAGCAAAGTACCGTAAGGACTTCGTTACGAACCATCGACGTTCGATGTCACGGGATCAAAAAGAAGAGGAGTGTTGGCTAGGCGTCCGCAGAACGTTCGGTGACGTCATAGCAAACAAAAACAAATCTCACAAAGCTAACAGAAATATTTGAAATAAATAAAAGTGATACCCTTCTGGAGAAAAATTTCATCTTTAACCAGTAAAAATTTCGAAGCAATCGGTTCAGTAATGAAAGAGAAAAGCGTTTTTTTTTAGATTTTCCACTAGATGTCTAAAAAGTGTCAAAGAATAACAACAAGACCAACATAATATTGAAACGATCGTTATGTCCACTACGTGTCCAATAAAATAGATAGGTATGGTTGGAAAAATTATTAATTCGTTTTTCAAGAATTTTTTTTTCTCTCACCCCCCAGTCATAGTCTGGTGATTTTGGCTTATTGCGGGCCTCTGGGAGGTCTTATGAAAAGTCTAAAGGCATGGGCATGACTAGAAAAATTATTTGAATCAGGTTCAGGTGAATTTTTTTTCTTTCACATGTCAGTCACGCTCCAGTGATTTAAGGTCATATATGGAGAATGGTAATGGGTAAGGATGCCATATTTGGGTTATATAAGGTAATTGAAGTGAAGTAAATGACAAAATAATTTCGTCACGGTTGAGTGATCACAGACCATAACAATTGACAAAACTTGATCCCGTTGGGAGTGAAGAGTCCATGAGGTAGAATTTAAACTACTTGAAAGACTAAAGTGGGCGGGGGTAGCGCGCCGGACGGATATCCGCCACTCGTCCGTCGCAACGACCTTTCAGCTTCCATCCTACATCAAACCAGCGTTAGCTTTTTAATTAAAAGAAAAGTATACACGCCGCTAGATCGTTAAGTCGACGGTCTCTGATCGCTTTTTTTTTACTTGCTCGATAGGAGGCTTGGAGCCCTCATGAAAACAGCATAAAAAGGACACAAGTATGCTAAACCCAACAAAGAATTCATGCTGAACAAACGTTTCATGTCAAAAATCTTTATTATTGAAATCTTCAAATAAATAGGGATTAAGGACAGTGGTGGGATTCAAAATTTTAGAAACGGGTTCTCCTTTGTATCGATCTCACTAACAACAGGTTCCTTCATTTCAGAAAATTACTAACTCACGGTCAAGAACTGGTTCTATAATTGCCAGAAGAACTGGTTCGCTCAAACCCGTTTAATCCCCTTGAATCCCACCACTGATTGAAGGTTTATAAAAATTATTTGTGGTTAACGATGTTGATATCACAGGTTATTGAGGATTTCGATTTGAAGTACTACGGTATCGCGAAGTTAACGACTCCCACGAAGAGATGCTGAAGTAGTATCATTGAAGTTAATGTAAAATTACCAATATAAGACAATAGAAATTGTAAATGTATTTGACAAGTGAGATTATAGAGGCAAGACCCTGATACATAGTTCAGTCAGTCTTTTACAGAAAATAAGATCTGAGGAGAGCTTCGTAGCAGTCAGTGAACACTGAGTAGAAGCGTGTAGGAAGCGAATTAGACATTATGGACGTGTAGATAACGGTACATCAGGTGCCTTGCCAGACTCTTTGTAGTTCGCCTTCCTTTTAGAATTCAATGAATTTCTGATTAATAGGAGCAGCAAAATGAATATTACAACACTTAGAATTATCAGAAAAATAAATTGAATACGCAAGGTGCTATTAGCAGTTGAAACAGATATGGAACTTCCGAGATATTCAATATGGCCTATGTCATCTTCCTTCATGCAGTGTCCTTGATCTGGTCCAACACAGGATGCATATCTGAAGGTAATATGAATTTTAATCATATCAGCATACTTCTCTAAACGTTTGATTACTCAGGAACAACGGCCTCATTTCTGGTGATCTGTAAGGCCGGATGTCAGATAGTTGCGCGCTAGGGTAGAATACCGGTAGGTCAATTTAGATGCATGAATTGTGTTGTTCAAAATAATAATATATTGGATTAACGCATTTTTATTCACACAAGACCGCTTCATCATTCAGCGAACAACGCCACCCGTCTGGCGACAAGTGCAGTTTTAGGTATTCTGTGGCGTCTGCAGCTGCCGCAAGACCATGGCGGTATTTTCATACCATGGCCCCTACGGCCAAACCTATGGCGACTGACTTTTTAGCTGCCACAAACCACGACCAGACCAAGAATGGAAATAGTTTACTGATAGTTGTACCAGGTTCTTGGCGCGCGCCTATAATGTGACGTACTTCTATGGAACACCTCATGATAACTTTAATCGCTTTTCTGGAAATCAGTCACTGTATTTAAACAAAATGGTAACATAACTGTAGACTCCAAAAATGCTTATTTTTTCTAATTTACAAAATATGGTAAATGGAACATTTTGCGTTCGTTTCATTGAAACTTTTAAGCTGTAATTACCGTTGGCGTAATTCTTCATTTTTCGATGGCAAATAATGGAGTCGCTAATGAACCAAATAACGCATTTTTAAAGTTCTAGATTTAAAAATGTGTCACCTCATTACGTATGCAATGTAGCTCTGCTCATGAACGCCATGAAACAAATGTGCCATCGGACCAGATGCAAAAATTGCTACGTCTTCTCCCCCGTGGGTTTCAGAATCCAGTGGAATCGCACTCTGCTGAAGATAATCCGGGGCAGCTGAAAATGAGCGGATAAAATTACAAAATTCTGGTTTTCAAAGTTTATAGTTTGTATCAAAAATAAGCTTTTGTTTTGATTAGATACCAGTTTAATAAAAGTCCAATAACAATAGTACCTCTTCGACACTTTTTTTATCGATATAGTTAGTTATGTAATTCTGTATCGACACAGGGTGGCCCAAAAGTAGTTTATAGTTAATAAATATTCCACCCTATATATCTGCTTCTTGGTTTTTTGTTAAATGGCGTGTTTTACTATTCTCTATACTTCTTTTAATATTTTATGGCCGAAATAAAATCCGCCATATTACGTCATTGCAACTTCGTAATTGAAAATAATATTTTTCCACTTGAGATGGATTTTTAATTAGAAATCTTTATTGAATTGACAGAGGAAAACCGATAAGACATCTCAGTCACATAAACAACTACGCCCTCTCGTCTCTTTACAAGCCGATGTCTGTTTATGGCTAAAAAGTTAATTTTTTCAGATGCATGGACTTGATGGTGGATGGAGCCGCAACCGACAAGCAGTTATGCTGACCACCAAGCGATTACGCGATATCACGCGGCCCACTTACGGCCTCTCGTCTGGTTACCAGCCCATGTCTAGTTATGACTAACCAGTTATTCATTTCAGATGCACGGACTTGCTGGTTGATGAAGCCGCAACCGACAAGCGGTCACGTGAACTTCAATTTTCATTCAATGTTCACAACTAGCTGTATTAATTAGTCATTTTTTATATAGAAAATAATTACTTGTAATGTTATATCTAAATATTGTCGCCAACATCTTAATAAACAAACTTACTTGTGTTCACGTTAGTGAGATCTTCTCTTGAACTTCCATTCTTAATGATTGGCTCGTTATATCCCATCGCATTAACAAAATATTCGCCATGAAACCCTGGTCCATTGGCGTAGATTAATGTGGTATAGGGTTTGTTGTCTAACGCATTGACGGGGTTTGAAACGTCTGGTTGCAATCCTGAGATTACAAAAAAAATTGTTTGAAACAAGCATTGACTGGCAATGAAAAACAGCGAACTGCCAGTAGGGCTGGGCATTTTCAAATATTTGATGATTTCAGAATCGAATTAATTTTCGAATTGAATTTCGAATACTTAATATGTAGTTGTAGTTAGATATGTAGTTTTGTGACTGTTTTATTGTGATGGACACTTCAGACACATAAATTAGTAAAACACGTAATCTATAACGCAGACAACGTTCGCTGGGTGTTCGCTGGGTAAGGAACATGTTTCATCAATAACCCACTAGGAAGAAAAAGGCGAAATTGCTACTTTTTGATTTTAGCATATCAGTGGTACATGCAAAGCATCACTGTTAGGATATGTTATTATTGCCTTCGCTTTCGCGTGGAGGGTTCGCGATTTGGCTTTCAGAAAACTGACATATAAAACGTGAGCATCAACCATTTCTGATACGCGGAAAGAATGGAAAAAAATTTCAGCTTTTATAGAATAAATCTGATACTGGATTAACGCATGTACAGTAGCAATACACCTAAATACATTAATGGGGTTAGCTAATGATAACTCTGAATTCGAGTATGAATTACTTTTGAGCAATCTGCAGTGCATATTACTACTGGGAGTCTACCATTTTTAAGAAAATTTGGTCAAAGCAAAGTCACATGCGGTCACTCTGAAATAAAGAAGACTGGTATATGAGCAAAGTTGCGGGAGACCACAGAGGTAGCAAGGGTTACTGAGACTATCTGATATTTGTTTCGTTTACCAAATATATTATTTCCCCGAATTGACTTTCCACCAATAGTAAACACGTGACTATGATCTGCCGTCACAATAATCATTGTGTCTTCTTGTGACGTCATACGGAGTGCTTCAGCAATGGCATTGTCAAACGCAACGACGTCATGGAGAGAAAGGTACGCGTTGCCTGAGTGATGACCGTGGTCTGAAACAAGGAATGAAGTATGTTAATTATTAGGCACGAAGTAGACATATGCATCGTTTTGCTGCTAAGTTGTTTTAGGGCCTCGAAAAATCTCTTTCAACTGGTCGATTTCAAATTTCGGTAGACAGCCATGTTTAAAATCTATTACCTTCATTCATTTAATTTCAAATCTTTTCTATACTAAAGCGATAAGATTTCAGAACTCAAATGGTGTTTCACGGGACCGGTACGACGTTTTATACCACCAGTCGCATCAATGACCAGCTATACGTTACCCGACAGGACTGGTAACCGGATTAGTCGTGGTATACCCTGATTAATTCTCATCGTCAATTACTTTGCCGGGATGACTATAAAAATCCCATCCTAATTTTAGTAAAATTCATGGACTTTCGGTACAATTCTGTCAATGCGGTGACCGAATAAATCATTTGGGTCCATTTCCCCGAGCGTACACTCCGTGTTATAGTTTTGTACGTGAAAAACTTACCAATTCTCCCTCCTTCTACCAATAGAAAGTACCCTTTATCGTTTTTCTGTAACATTTGAATCGCCTTTGACGTCATTTCTGCTATCGAAGGCTCTCCTTCGCCATCTTTTGATCGTTCAGCATCGTAGTGCATATCTGATGGCTCAAATAGACCTTTAGACGTAATAAATCAGTATCAAAAATATAAAATGGATAAATTAATTAGTATTTATTACCCAAATCCAGGATCTCGACCTCTAATTCTATAAATTAACTATTCCAAAACACTATCCGAACCGACAACGTGATTCGCCATACGATTACCCTCATCAACTTCCCCTCCCCCGGAATGATTATGAAAATTGATCCTAATAAAAATCGATCACCCAACATAATATTATTTTTCGAAGAGATGTATCGAGCCTCATCAAGAAATTCGCGATACCAACTGTAGCAGAATTGAGCGAATGTAAAATTATAAAGATTTAAACCTTTTTTAAGTTCTTCATGAATGGAAAACCTCTTGAAAAACTACAAATTTCGATACTCCCGAAGTATGTAAAACCAAGATGGCGGACATCAGAACCAAGTATGTGTAATAGGTTTGGGTTAGGACAGAATTTTATTCCAAGTTTCCTTATTTTAGTTTTTTTACGAGTTCGGGGACTAGCCAAGAGACACCAGTAGTATTTGTACCTGAAAATTATGGTCTAACCCTAAAATGGTATACACATATTATGTTCCGGTGTCCACCATCATGGTCCACATACCCTAATTTCATCTTGATACTGAAGTGTAGTTCATGACATTGATAGTTGATTATGCCATATAGTGCGTAACTTGATTGATCTCAGCACCAGAGTACCGTGGCTAATTGCAAGTAGGATATTGCCGTAATGCCTCATTCTCGAAATTTAACAGTGTTGGTGAAGCTCGGGTTGGGATCAAGTTACCATTTATCGAAGACTAAAAGGGATTCGAGTCATCTGAATAAAATGGCTCAAACTGGTCATCAAGTGACCACCAGTCAAGTTTAACCCAGTGATAGACTCGAGGGAACTTCTAAAGTATGCGCACCAAGATGTCGCATCACTCGCATAACCTGAACCCTAACCTGATACACAACCTGAGTTCAGGTTGTGCGCCTTCTTGGTGTGCATACTTCAGGAGGTCCGACTCGAGACTTGGACTAGGGAAGAACTTCGAGTTCAGCGGTGTGGCGCATCGTGCTAAGTGTTAGGAATACGTTCGCCACATTAACTTTGATTACCCTGTGTGGATTTGCGGGGTCGAATCATACAGGGTTAGTTATGTGCGAGAGAATTGCTGTACTCCTCGCCGCCGCAGGGTAGTTCACGTGACCGCTGGCTACCTCCACCATCAAGTCCCTGCATCTGAAAACAATTAACTGGCTAACTAATCCCATATCCGACATGGACTGATAATCGGACGTAAGGTCGTGGTTTGTCAAATGATGAAACCGTTTTTCCCCCACCACAAAAAAAAGTATGTAAATGCTATTTTTCTAACTTCGACTCATCAATGATACTTAGTGAATTTTTTACCAAGTAGCCGATCTGTTGATTCAACATCAACGTCATCGAATTGCTTCTTGTTCCACACAAACTTTGATTCGAACCCTGCCGACGCCATCTTGTTTTTCCACATTTGAATCAAGTCTTTTCCGTCCTTTCTGCTGTTTGACATTTTCGGATATTCGTAATCTGTCGTGTTCTCTGGTTGCATGTATTTACGACCACCACCCAAAGCAACCTAAGAATGTTAATGAAGATGTTAATTCTCGAAGACAAAAATTATTTTGAAATTTCCGAAAGGCTCTATAGGAGTATACTGATGCGTATTGGCACCTCTATAAAAACCCTCTCTAAAGAAAAATCAGTGGCGTAAAAAATTGGAAAACTTCCCTTGTTTTGTTATAGAATGGGTGCAGAAGAGCATCTCCCCAGATACAGTTACTCATGAAGTGGATTATCACAATGATGGATATCTAAGATGGTGTCCAAATGCAGTCCAGTGTAGTAGGCCTACTTTTATTTTAAGCTCAGAAAACTAGCGAAAGAGTGCCGAATTCTGAATCACTACCACTGATAAAATTATCCGTCAAAGCGCAACAAATATCCCTGCTCTCTCTAATTGCATGGAAGTATATTCCCAGTCATAGACTGGACCAATATGTCATAATCTCTCACGGAAGATACAGTTCAAAAGACTCAGTACTGTAATTTAGTTTTCTCAGTTTAACTGGAAGTAATTCTCTGGACTGAGTTTGTGATAATCAACTTCATGAGGGAGTGCTTTTTTGTGTTCAATAAAACAAGCTAAGAATATTTATCTCTTACCGTTATCATATCGGAAGCTTCATAAAATTGCAATGCAATATCTTTGCAGCCGTTTTGTTTTGCTTCTTCTGTTAAATCAGCATCACCGTACCACTCCCTGTTTGGTGCGTGAGCATAGGTCGCTCCTGGAGTGGCGTGTTGAATACGAGTTGTTGTAACGACGCCAGCCGATTTACCTGAATATCAAAATAACTAAGATTATTGGAGAAGATACTACATATGGTCTAGAAACCTGATATAACAAATGAACAATAGAGTTCAAGCTATTTAAGAGGCAATTTTCTTCGCAAATGGCCCACAGTGAAGTGTCACCGGCGTCATTTAATTTTGCATTGTCTTAAATTGCCTGCCAAGATATTTGTAGTCTACAATTGTTTAACACGTGTTTGTGCAAAGACTTCTTCGCCTACCCATCAAACACCCGACTGAAGGGCGCACCGGTCAGACTTGCAAACTTCCGATCGTATAGCAAGAGGAATATAAATAAAAATACCACAATTTTTCGCAAAACCGAGAAGCTGATATAGGGTGGAATATTTATTAACTGTAACCTACTTTTAGGCCTCCCTTGACTTTTATTAAACTGGTATCTAATCAAAAATCTTGAGAGCCAAAGATGCGCAATATTTTTTATCAACTATTTCTGAAGATTGTAGGGGAAATGCTACACATAAGATGCTTTCTTTAGCAATTTGCGCCGTGAAATTTCCCCCAAACAAAACTAAACATTTTAATCGATCTTTGTATATTGTTATATGTTTTAGAATTGCTTAAGAATTTTCTGTCTAGAATTTTACAGACTATTTTTTTAAAGTAGGGACTGGTGTTGACACATCCACAATCCTTTGCCTAATAAATATAAATACCTGCGGTGCTGCCGAAGTATGCGAACCAAGATGGCGGACATCGGAACGTAACATGGGTAACAGGTTAGGGTTAGGCGATAATTTTAGTCCAATTTACCTTATTTTAGTCCTATTATCAGTTCGAAGACTAGCCAAGAGCCTCCCGTAGTATTTATACCTAAAATCATGGCCTAACCCTAACCTAGTACACATATTACATTCCGATGTCCGCCATCTTGGTTCGCATACTTCGGGAGCCCCATACCTGCTTTATACGAATCAACAAGAACCGATTCGACACCGTTTCCTTTTATACTTTCACAGTTGTCATACACAGTCGCAGCATTTACACCAAGTGTGTACCAGTTTGACTTCACACCACATAAATATGCCGTTGCAGTCGCAGCTGAGTCTGATACCTGAGCATTGGCCGAATACGTCTAAAATATTGTTACACAAAAAGATGGTTTTTTTCTAAATACAATTTAATGATGGTGGTACTCTATAGCCTAAGCACCGGTAATAAGTGTTAGGGAGGCACGAGGAACTTTTGTGACATTTATCAAAGACAAGTGACTTGAATCTTCTGACTGAAATGATTCGTACTCAATTAAACGCCAGTGATATTTAGATCAGTGATGGACTCAAGGCAACAAAATTCGAAAACTAGGTGGGAGATAAAATAGATTAGTGATGACCATACCCGAATACTGGGCTATTCATTTAATGAAATATTTCAAAGCGCAGTTTCACTTTTGGGACCTCCAGAAGTATGTGCACCAAGATGGCGCTTAACCTGAAGATAGTATGTGTACCAGGTTAGGGTTCAGGTTTTGCGCCATCTTGGTGCACATACTTCGGAAGCGTCCACCTTTGTGCGAATAAACTGCACATGCAGAAATATATAAACTCATAGACTAGATGTGAATAATCTGAGTGAAGTGACTCGGCCCGGCTGGCTCTTTACTAGCGGATTGGGGTTGAGAGACTTCCAGTTGGGGGAAAAGCGTCCTTCTGCATAACTGATGGACCCGTCGATTTTAAATTATTGTACTTAAAAATGGAAGTCGTCGCCAGAAGGCTATTACATATATTTTTCTCTCAAATTTTCTCTAAATCCTATGAGATCCGATATTTCACTCAAATTTTCTTGATTTGTGAACATTGTTTTTTTTTTCATTAGACGTGACCGCTTACGCCACTGCTGTCCTTGGTTTTATTTATCTATATCAGTGGTTCCCAAACTTCCGGTCAATTACGACCCACTTAACGATTTACTATGGCCCGACGAATTTAAGTGACGTAGTTAACACTTAATGTTTTTTTTTGTGTTTCACATACCGCCAATTGTTACGTCATTTTCACAGATTAAGCACGTGCATATTCGTAACAATTTAGTTGCGTATCTTAATTATCGGTACCGATATTGACCCCTTGCGGGAGGCCCTCTATCCTGGCCCGCAAATACCCTCCAGATTCTAATTTTGGCTCGCGGTCAATCAACTTTGGGAAACACTGATCTATATGCTCTACCTTCTTATAAAAATTGTTTTCAGTTATATTTGATGCTTCAATATTTTTGCATGATTTACACAAGTTGGTAAAGAGCAATTTGAAAAACAATGAATTGGTTTCTGCGGGACTAACTACTTATTCTTCTTCTAATCTTTTGTGTCGGCGGATCCGTATGCATATAAAGCAAGGATGCCGTAGCAAGAGTAAAGATAACTGACTTGTGGAAAACAATAGTCTTACTTTACTGAGGGCTGCATGAGGTAACGTCTCCATTGTTAGCTTTGTTTCTTCGCCGCTCTCACCCCGGAGTTGGCCTTTCAATATTCTTCCGGCAGTAACAGTGGATATTCCCATACCATCGCCTGCAACAATCGTATGAAAACTATGTCGAGTTTGTTAAAATTCTGACGGAAAAGACAAATCCGATCCGAGATTCTACAAGGTTTCTTGAAGTCCAACTACACGTAAGGCAGACTATGTTATTCAACATCTTATTGGTGCGATTATTGCAATAACTATCGTTCGCAGACACGCATTTTTGAAAATCGAATAGAAATTGGATCACATTTCTAAGCCGAAGCAGACCTTTAGCAGTCTAGGAATGACTTGATTAGTTACTTTGCAACATGAAAGATGCGAGAACACTATTTTTGTGCTGTAATATGTTTTTGGTTGAGTAAAGTTATTCAGTCTACATATAAGAATTCGAAAAATCGTTATAATCCTTTTATAGTCCCACCAATAATTTTAGGATATCTTCTCTTTGGTTCTGTTAGTCTCAAGGTCGGGTTTTTACCCCACCTTAAAATAAACAGAATCAGAAAAAAACAGTATCGCACCGAAATTGCAAAATAAAAAATTCTAGCAACTCACCTAGAAATATTATGACGTTTTTAGCAACATTTGTGTTGAGTCTTTGAGCATCTAAAGCGGCTTCCAATTCTTTTTTTGCATTGGCTTTCCAAAACGATGGTTTCTTCTCTGCTTCTGAAGTGAGTAGCGTAATTGTATAAGTCAGAAGGAAGTTATTTTTTACATACCGAAAATACGAAAGTATAAACAATGAGATAAAATAAAAATAATTGTATTTCAGCGTGGAGGGAGACGCGATAAACCAGTAATGGTTATCGTCATCGAGAAGCGTCACCTATACAATATATTTTCGACAATGTCACACTAACAAAACAAAAAATGAACGAGCTAAGCTAGATTGCATTAGTTAGTTTCTAACATGGCTTAATTAATTAAGTGCTCGTAATTTCATTTTTCTCGTGAAAACAAGATTATCTTTGTGATTTAGTTTAAATATGTTTGCTTGATAAAGTCTTACCTTGGTCAGACAAAACGTTACAGAACTACATTTTTGTTAGAGACATGGGTAATGGAGAAATGCTCGTAAACAACTATTTTCATGTTTTTTTTTCTACTGTTATAAGAATTGAGTTCGTGTATATGTGTAGTTCGCTTTGAACTCCGTAGTTCATACCTCGCCATTATTACATTGTTGTTCCTGCCTTTTATTATTATCAAGCAACAATGCTTTCGTCTCAGTGCGCTTGTTACTGGCTGTCACGAGTATTGGACGGTAGTTCGATTAAGTTTGGCTATACTCAATCATTGCTTTTTCTAAACATTCGCACCAAAATATTTTTATCATAACATTTAATTTCTGTATTTCGACATTTTTGTTGGCGAATGAGTGCTCTTGTTTAAAGACAAAATTTGGATTATTTCAAATAAGCTTTCACGACAACTGTCTTAGCCAACGAGCGCATACTGTTACAATTTAGGTTGTTTTTTGGGGAATGAAGGCTGACCTTTACCCTACAACTATTCTTTTTCATCATTATCGTCGTGTAAAAATTAAGGGGTGAACGACCCATTTTGTTAGGATTATATAAATTAATGAAGTGTTCGAAAACCGTAAATTTCAATTTATCATATTCATTTATTTTATTTTTTAGCCAACGAGCTCGTAGATTTTCAGGTCACTAAATTTAGAATATGTTGCCCTTTATATCCCGGAACTTTTATTTTTTATTTTACTTGTAAAAAATATGTGAACGTCCCACCATCCATCATATTTACATGTCATGACTCCAATCATTTTCTGTAATTAAAATTCTTACGTTGTCATGCGTAACATGATCAAATGGTCATTTTACGACATGCTCTACTGATCAGTAGCCTGATTAATGCATCCATCAAGTCTGTCCATTCGATTTTATTTAAAAAAATTAAGTTATGTTATTGTTCATATAAAAGCTTCACAATTCGTATATTTTCGGTCAAAAATTGCAAAGTGGTAAAGCTCCTGAATGATGCTCCATTTTCGGACAAAAAGTGGACCTGTGCGTTGTTTTGCTGAATTGTTATTATTAAATGGCTTTCTCGAGAAATAATCTGCTAATCGTTCAGCACCTATAGGCCTGACGAAAATTCCTCAAAATTGAAACCATCGATGCCCCGGAATAAATGAAACTCATCAATACAAGGGCTTTGCATTTTCGAATACCTGATAATTTCAGAATCGAATCGAATATCTTTTCGAATCGAAACTCGAATACTTGGGAAATATAAAATTGTATGTAATTTTCTTATTGTATTAGGTCCTCCAGACACATAAATTAATGAAAACATATAATAAATTCTTCAGGCTGATTTCTGAGCGTTCCCACACAAGAAAAAATACGTTTCTATCAATAACTCACTACAGAAAAGAGTCATATGTCAAAATTGCGTTGAAAAAATATGACTTCATTAAATAGAATTGAGAAAGTTACCTCGGCCATTGGCGGAATGAAAAAAAAACAAGATGGCGGCGATTCGAAATTTTGCTCTGAATTGATTCGAATGCTTTACTATTCGATTCGAAATGCCCAGCCCTAATTAATACGATTACCGATTTTGTGAGTTTCATCTATTTTGCGTATCGATTCGATCGTCATTTGATTGTTACCCAGATCCAACGCTATTTTGGTAGCAGCCGCTGTTCTAGGGGCGCTAAGCATGCTGTGATTTGCTTGTAAAAGAATAATTTCAAAAATTGAAATTGGAATTAATTTCGCGGGACAGGGTTAAAATTGCGACTAATAGGTCGCCATGACGATCTCGGCTGTATACTCTGGCGTCTCTGGGTTGTAAATTCGTTTCCCAACAGGCGGACAAGCCTCGTATCAGTCTTGAAAGCACATAATTTTCGTCAACTGTGCAATATTGTTAACCGTCGGCCTAATTTTTCAATTGTCAACCCTCTAAATTTTTCTATAGACCAAATTAAAAAAAAAAACCTTATCAATGGCTTGTTGGCTCAAAACTGAAAGGCTCAAAAGATGTCGTAATAAGCCGGTTGTGCAAGTTGATCCCATTACACAATTCCAGCTTCGAATTTCTTCAGTGTTCTGCGAGGTGAGATAAAAAGCGTGGGCGAAAAAAAGAGTTTGACAAACGCTGTTTTAATCCAACCTAATTTAGGTTAGTAAATATTTTATTTTACGATAATATTATGGGCATAGTTTTGAAACGGAATTGCTTTATACATATTTCCAATTGGGACTTCATCTTCGATACAACAAGTATGACTTCAGTCGATTTTGGCGGTAAAGTTTTAGAGAGCCGGCAATGCCAATTTTTGATAGATGCTTATTAGTTATAGCTATTATAATCGAGAACTAAAAATGCTCTGAAAGTTATATTGCAAAGAATAACCACAACGGGTGGACGGTCAATGAAGAGTCCCGTTACGACTCACCCAAAACCTATATCAGTCCTGTCTTTACATGAATTGTGTAAATAAAATACATGTCGTACGGCTTCAATCACACTGTTCGTCAGATATGGTATATACAGTTGCATGCGAGTTAAAATAACTAACATTTTTAACAGTTATTTGCTGTGAAAAACCGCTGACATTTCTAGGTTCAAGTTTATCTCAATTTGGCGTCGCATAATCAGCCGCAGACGAAAATATTACAAAAAACTCATAAACAAAATCGTATGTGAATCGCACCGCACAAATACCGCATTCAACCGATAAGTTATGATTTATGGATTAATATAAAGGTTGTGGTTGCCGTAGGGAATAACCAAGTCCAAATCAAAGTTATTTGACATAGATTTAAATGCGCCCATATTTATAAAACGGTATGATGCATTTATAATACTGTTGTAATGATGATAGGGATGTCATGTTTTGATTCAATAATTGAGGCCATTTCCGCTACGTACTATGCGACTACCTTTTTATACGAGTATAAACATGTTATTTACGAAAGGATTCATTCTAACTAACGCTTTTCACATACAAAATTGTAGGACCAGAATCTTCCAAGTATTTATTACAGCACACCCGTAATCTAGCCTGCGATTCCGAAATGGAAATTCGAAAAGAGTGACCCAAAAATAACATAACCCTCAAATTTACTAATTATTTCTACGAAAATAAAGAAAATTTAGACTTGAACTTCTGTTTGTGTATGATTGTATCTAAACGTTTCGTTAATCTAAGACGCGTTGCACAAAAGTTATGTTCTCTCTAGATTTATAATATTTTCCAAATGACCTGATGCCGTTCTTTTGGGGAGGGGGTCACCATGTGCAACTCTCTACTCTCCAATGGCATGACAAAAAATCATTATACATATATAAAGTTTACTAATATATTACACGTACCACCTTTGGAAAAAAATGGTGTGGGTACCCCTTTTGAACAAAAAAATAGAAGGGGTACTCTCTTCCAAAAAAAAAAAAAATAGAACGGGTACCCCCTATTAAAAAATGAACAATTGAAAGCTTACCTATATCACGTTTTCCAGATACGATACTGATGAAAAGCAAAACTTGGTAAAGTAATAAATACATACTATTTACAGTCTGTAAATTAACAATAAATGGAAATCGTTACAAAAGAAAATACGATACGATCAACTACTACGTACTATATTACCAGTGAATAGTCGAACTACACTACACAAATCAGCGGCAAGAAATGTCTTCATGATCGGACCTTTGAAACGAGTTCGGCAATATTTTGTTGGTGTTGTATTCGGAGTCATAATTCTAAATTTTCCGGAGTTGTATAGTCAAAATTGTAAAACTAAATTTCAGACTTAGGAATGGTAATTTTCATCCGAACCTATAAAACGACAAACATTAATTAACGCTATTTTAGTCAAAATTTCGGTCCTCCCGAAGTATGTGAACCAAGATGGCGGACACTGGAATGTAGTATGTGTAACAGGTTAGGGTTAGGCCATAATTTTATTCCCTTTTCCCTAATTTAGTTCTATTACAAGTTCGGGGACTAGCCAAGTGACTCCCGTAGTATTTGTACTTGAAATTATGGCCTAACCCTAACCTGGTACGAATAATACGTTCAGGTGCCCGCCATCTTGGTTCACATATTTCGGGTGTACCAAAATTTCCTCGTTCCGGAGTCAAAATCGGATTATTCTTTTTTCCCTAGTCATAGTAACAAAGTCACATTTTCCTCGGACCAGAATCCGAAGGACTCGAGTTAATTAAACAACGAGTTAGCGATAGAAGAAAGATCGTGAACCTTTTCTATATATTCGTTAATTAATATACGATTGTTGGAAGTCACGAGTGGTCCGGTTCCTCGAACCGAATCGCATTTTTCTGACTAACTCGCAGTCGAATCAAATTTTGTTCCGACGTCACATGCCTTTTTTCCGACTGCAGTCATGCGTTAGCGATAAACTGTGTGTACCACTGTGCTATCTGTGCTATGAGTGTGTACCACTATGCTATCTGATTTAACATTCTTTGAGTCCTTTAATATAATCTAATCTAGAAATTTTATATCCAATACCAGCGTTCTATTTACATAAGCCACACTCAAGAATCTTATCGCTCACTTGACTACACTTATAAATAATGACTCGGATGATCTTTTAAGCGAAGATCGCCTATTATGGGCTATATATATAGTTTCAATTCTCCCATAAAGATGATTGATTTTGACAATTTTATACTCATATAATGATGATTCAGTGTAGACTGTAGATAATATCCTAAATTATATGTATGCATGTTAACCTCGCACTGGTGAAAATATAGACAATAATGCTGGAGACGGTATGCATGCACCATACTGGCTTAAAACACAAATGTGCGGAGTGCACTCATATTGCAAAATACCGATATTCCAAAAAAAAAAAGAACAGTTCCAAGACTGGAATTTTGATATGAACGGAGGCGACAAATCTGAAATTCAAGCCCGACCGAAGCTCCAAAGAAGCCACCAAAACTGTAATAACTAGATTAATTGAATAACGCTTATTAACTCGGTGGTCAAGCGGGATTAGTTCTCCAAACTTAAGGTCTTAGAATGGTATTTAGGTCGAATTTTTGTCGGATGAATCAAACTCTAGTACTAGCACGATGAAAAATGTCCAGCAAAACTTACAAGTCTTGTAAAAGTTGTTATTGTTTTACTATCCTATTAATGGCGCCAAGAGAAAGTAACTCTAGGAGGTTTAACGAAATTTAATGTCATCTATTGGAAAATCTATTGTAATGCAAGTACCCTTTTTTCGTCTTTCCCTAATTTGCGTGTATACTTACGCACACAAAACATGTCGACACTGCCGTTGATAAGTGGTTTTTTACCTTTTCGGTGGAGCGGAATATCAATGAAACATTCCAGACGCCCCACGAACCCTATAGCATTAGTGAAATTGTCTGTCTTAATTGTATAGCTATAAACCATAAATATATATACAAGTAAACCTATCACTGGAAACAAAAATTGCTCTTTGAAGTGCAGCAATTTTGATAATTGTGCAACGGGTTAACATAAAGTTACTTGATTATATTTAAACAATACACATATAATAATATAGGCTCTTGGAATTGAACCTGGGACACCTGAAGTGCACAGGCAAAACCCTGTAGCGCCGCAGAACCCCGCTAAAAAAAACCTGCATTAAACTAAAGCGATTAAATATATCTGTTATCCACTGGACATACTATATTTTAAGGTAATTTTTATCATCCTGAATCTGTGCTTTACGGTACGAACACAAAGTATGAAGGTATCAATTAAATGTCACCACAATTATATAATAAATCGTTGAACGCACTTCTTGATTCTAGCGATTTGGTATATTTATCCATACAGTATTAGACTTGCGATTAGTCGATTGTCATGCTATTATAAATAATTAAGATTGTTGTCAACATATAGCAGGCAATGGGAACATGATCTTGTCATGACAGCGAGCTTATCTATCTATATTTAAGCTATGCTTGAAAAATTAAGCAACATGAAACAAGTATAATCGTAATTTGCAATGAATTTTAATCAAATTAGCCTATTAACAACCAGAGATGTAGAGCTTGAACAATTTGTAATCGTCTCTACAATGCGGGAAACATAAAAATCCTCCGAAAAAAACAAATTTTGAAAACAAAAACTATGGCGTATGCAAGCTTTCCTCGACAGACTAATATAAACGCTTAGTAAACTTAATAAATTCGTTTTAATAGCATATTTTGACATATTTTTTCACTATTTGAAATTCATAATTTAGACTCACCTATGAATTCATGATTTGGACTCAGCGACTACAGGTAGTTTGAAAATAAGACTCAAACTTCAGTAAAACATGCCAAACTCTGACACCACAGTCTTTATGGCAACGGCTAAACCAGGGATTCTCAGTCATTTTTCCTCCGTGGCCAATTTTCGTTGCATTGAAATTCAGTGGCTTATTAACGTTTTTATGCAAGGGAAGAATTACAAGAAAAAAAACTAAATCTTCCCGTGAAAATATACACTTTCACTTTAATAATTAGTTACTGCTCAGTATCAGAAAAAGATAGCATATTCATTCATTCATACGTCAATCAAAATTACCTATAATGACACAAAAAATATCAATGTATAATAGATGGGTTTGTGGCCCACTTCATATTGTCTCCGTGGCCCGCTGGTTGAGAACCGGTGGGCTAAGCGTTAGACTATATTCAAGACAGTTGCTTCTCTCTCATTCCTGGCGATATGTACAATCGACTTTCGGGAATTGTGGCATCGCAGAACGGGCCTGTGCCTGCTTGCCACATTCACATCAAACGGCTTGGATCAGCGCAATTCAATATATATTATCACGGTCATTATCTAATAAATAACCGTTTTGGCGTATTTATCCAAAGCTGCAAAATCACATTATGGCTGAGAGCATAGCTAAATTAAAACACTCCAATGAGATGCTTCAAATCAAGCAAAATGCAACACGCGTAATGATAACGTACGTTAGGTTTTGCTTTAATTAGCCTTCTGTTAGCGTTACCTAAATAATATTGTACTGAATATAATGTCGAATATCTATGTCGGCGATTCTACTTGCAGTCCTGGTGACGTAATTCAATCAAGTCTGATGGCCAAATCCAAGAACGGAATAAAGATGACCTCATGTCAGCAAGATTGTTTAAAGTCCAAAAAATACACTCCAATCGCAGTGGTTCTCAAACGGCGGGTAGCGCCCCACCAGCGGGTCGTAGACAAGTTTTTGGGGGGCGTGAAGCCAATTAAAAATAAACTTTTAGTTAGATTTGATCTTGCCCGCCTTTCATTCATTTCATTATTTACGTTCCACGTATTTTCAACATGTTTTTTTGAATGAAACATACAGTTCGCTTTACTATATGTTATTCCTTATTGTTAGCTAGCTAGTTATTTTTCGAGGTGAGGAGCGAGTCTTGACTAGTTCTCAAAAAGGGGCGTGGCTTAAAACGTTTGAGAACCACTGCTCTAATGCGATGTATCTCGAATAAAACATGCGTGTAATCGGAATATGCACTATACCTAATGGCTAATTGAAATAGTAAGTCTGCGTGTATAAGCTACGAATCTCCATACGATAATCCACATCCAATATGGACGCAAATCTAGACCTACTGATAATCTCGCGACTTGTTTGTAATATTATAAAATGGCTGTATCCAGTAGTGGGATTCAGCCGGTTCGCACCGGTTCTATAAAACCGTCTCACGGAATTTTATGAGATCAGCGAACCGGTTAACATTACTGGTTACTGTATATGTTCTGTTTGTAGCAGAACCGGCTGAAAAATTATGACTTTTGTGAAGGAACCGGAAATTTGAATCCCACCACTGGCTGTATCTACATACAAACAAACATGCACGACTGTGTGCCGCAATCACACCAAACATTGAAACTCTCAGATTAAGGCATAGTTCGAGAAAAGCCATTCATGTGTTTTTCCTATTTGCGGATTTTACAGTTTCATTTACCGTGGAGCGACGCTCCGTATGAGTGACCTAAATTGATCTCTCATAATCCACCAAACATACCTCGATACTTGGAAAATAACTGAAACAACGCCGTTACAAACTCTCACGTAATTGTTCTCTCATCGAGGAGGTCTGGCATAACTGCATCGATATAATCGCATTAAGTCGATAACGAAGCAGTTTGCGGTTATAAATTCTGTTTCAGCTGACGATCGTTATATTGACTTCCGGTCATAACATATCACGTTAAAAGTGGTTAAAATTGCTGCAGAATACTAACGAGCAGGCAGTTTTAAGGCTCTTGTTGGCGCCATTCGCCCCGTGCAGGGCTCTATAAGAGCAGCAACTGATGGCTGTCGTTATATAAATATTTGGAGCTTCTAATATTTGAAGGGAGGACGCCTAATCACGCTTTTACCTACGAACAAAACAACATACCTCGTTAAAACTGGCTAAAATTGCTAGCACTACTATGCTAATGAGAAGGCGATTTTACGACATTCGTTCTGAACAAGGCCCTATGAAAGCAATGAAATGCAAATCCATCAAGTATATATCGCTTCTTATGCTTTCTCTTACACTTTGCGCCAAACATAATAAACAAATCATCCATGACAGGTTGA